AAATCCTCTGTTGCAGGTCCTCCGCAATCTTTGGACGTACTGTAGCTGCCCACTTGGTCACCAGTAGTTTCCGTCGGTCAACCCGACCCAGGCATGTGGGTGCAATCGAGAACCGGGGACTTGCCCTGGGATATTCCAAGACCGAATTTCACGGAACCTAGCGCGCATCAACGCCGTTGACCCCGTCGTCGAAATCGCTCCTGTCGATTTTTTTTAACAAAATACCACGTTTCTCCCACCAACGCTTTGCAGATGTTTCACCATCGCTCGTCGTCGGCAGGTAAGTCAAGAAGCTTCGGCTGCTCCCACTCTCCTTTAGTTGAAGAATTCCGCGAGGTGTGTATTTCAACACGAGTGGGTCATTTGTATCCATGCCGCTGTGTTTCTTACCAGGCCGTCTTCTTTTAGGCAAAGGCGACCCTTGAGGCGAAGTCCCCCAACAGCTCAACCGCACTCCAAGGATCGAAGAAACACCCTCAACTCCAAAACATTTTTTTCGTTTCACCCCCCGACAATTTCGCTTCGTGCCGTTCACCTAGCGTCCGCTTTTGTCGGATGAGGTAAAATCGATGTTGCTCCCGCGATAATCCGGCTAAGGTGAAGGCGCTAGAACTATGGAAGTCGGGGTAGCCTTAGTTAAAAGGAACTCTCACCCAACCGTTTTGCAGCCCACCAGCCTATCACGCCACACAATACCGCAGCTTCCGGGTACCAGCATTGCCGCTGCGGCGTCATTCTTGTAGACGCCCGGGTCAAGAGGAACCTGTAATCCGCACTCTTGTTATCGTCGCAGCTCCCTGGTTTTTTCGGGTGTTGTTTCACCCAGCCCGCTTTTGTCAGAGTAGAACAGTCTCGCGAACTCCCCATTTTTTTGGTTTATTCCGTGCAGCTGTCGAACGAGCACCAATCCAAGTGCCTTTAACCAGCACAGGGTAGGCACGTGGTCACCCCCGTCAATTGGCCAAATCAGGTCGACTGCATGAGTTGGAACCAGTACTCGGTGGGGATGGTGAGGTTTGGGCGACGGAGGCCGCAGGTCGTTTCTAGTGGCTTTTACCCTGCACCTTGCGTCGTTCTTCAACCCTGGCGTAGACGCCAAGCAGTTTCTTCCCGTTTGTCCCGGCGGCCTGTACCAAACTCCTCCGTACAAGTCGGGGTGGTACCCTGAACGCTGTTTAATCGTGGAATGTTGCGGTTGTCCCCGAAAACTGCTTCTCGAACGGGGAAATCGTTCTCGAAACTGTCAAACAGCTGGCAACGGTACCAGGCACGCAGTATCGAGCGAGTGTTTTCGATGTGTTGAGGCTTGAGTGCCATCGCCGCCTGCGCCCCACTTCCGCTGAGTGCGATTTAGCCACTCCACTGTTTGTTGCGGTCCGTAAGTGTCGGCGGGTCCAAAGTTTCCGTGTGTCGACATGCTCTTCTACCGAAATCTTCAATGGCACGCCTGCCATGCTGCACTTACAGGTCGGCAGTTGACCCCTGCGTAAGTCAGGCAGTCCTCGTGTCGTTTCTCCTCGCCACCGATATTTTCGGACGCAAAAAAACTTCATTTGCGCCTGGCAAGTCCTTCCAGCTGTCGTTTTCTCCAGAAGCTTCGAAAAACTCGCAAGTTGACAAACAACCACACCAATTGCGACACAGGACGACAATTCTGACTTTTCGTGCAGATGACGACGCAGGTCCGCTGACGCCGGTTGCCACACGAAATAACCCATGGAATCGTTGCGACGATGGCTCACGTTTTATATTGCGACACGCACAGATGTCCGTTGCTCGGGGGGGGGGGGGGGGTCACGGTTGATCGCGATTGTTCAATGCAAGGATCGGGTGGTGCCAAGGAGTGCCCCGTAAAATTATGGCCGCGTAGAGAAACTAACTATTTTTCCTGACGGGTAGCTCTGATACCAGACATAAAATAATGACATTTCAAAGTGCGCAAAATAACGAATAACGAGAGTCTGATTTTACTGAATGACGATACAATGAAAGTGACGGGATTAAAAAGGGCGAGCCCCAGCTAGACAAAGAGGTCGGCCGAGGATGGCTCTGAAAATGTTGCGATTGGTGCGGGGGCGACCCGGGTGTGGTTAGGTGCGGAAATGTAGGCCGAACGAAACTGTCGCGTGGCCCTCGGAATTGTACCCGCTAAAAGGCGAGTACAGTAAGGAATTACAGTTCCTTACTACAAAAAATGACAAGGTATTCTAGGATACAAGTTAAGGAAGAATCCAGTGGTTACTGTTGGTAACAACAAGGTAACAGATATACTGTCGCTTGTTCTTCTCACCCTCGCACGATAACACTGATGCCGAATTCGTTTCAGTCTTCGCATACTCGCTGCAGCGCACTGCACTAACCGTTTCCGCGACTTCCCGAGGAACACCAACAGCTTTTCCCAAGCCAAGATCGAGATTGAAGCCGACAGGGAGAGGCAACCTCTGCTGCTTCTCCCTCGTCAATTCTCGTCTACGTCCTTGGAGAGAATGACTCCAGTGGCCAATAAGGTGATTCACCATCCCTCGCGTGACCACGAATTACTCGAGTGGCCACCAAATTTGGTGATAATGACTCGAGTGGCCACGCCAGGGGATTCTTCCTGGCTTTTTTTTCTTCGGCGCATTATCCTACGGGGGTTTGTAGCCCCGAAATTCCCCATTCGTGCGAGTGGTATCCTTAGGTAGTGTTCCGTTCTGTTTTGCACCCGAAAATTTCGCCAGGCTCACGGACGCGAAAGTGGCCCGCTCACTGTACATTGACCAACAGTACATTGACCGGTCAGTTTCGGCCAAATGCTCGACCAATGAGCGCGCGGTCAATATAATTCACATCCAATCAGCGAACGAGCATATGACTTCGCGATCATATACTGCATTTGACCCGAAACGAACCGACACTGCAAAAACGACCGCGCTCGATTGGTCAGGAGATATGCGCGTCCAATCAGGTGCCATCGTATAGTTCCCGATCATATACTGAAATGATCGGCCGTCGCTTCGCGAGAAATCGGATGACCGCGCGTGATTGGTTTGTCTTGTTCGCAGGATATGACCAGACATTGCGCGTCCAATCAAAGAACGTCCAAACAAAGGCGCAGTCATATATTATATAAGACCGCGCAATAACCTTTATGTACGCGCATATTTGATGATGCTTAGGGAGCTTATAAAACCTACACAAAAAATCAAAAAAAAAAATCTCCCTGAGTATATTTGATACGGTACATATCGCTTTGCTTCGGCTCTCCAGTTCCAACGAAGCAAAACTCTGTGTCGTCATCGCCTGAGTCGGGCTCTGTGTTAGAAGTATATGACGTCAAACTCATTGCGGCAAATAGGAACGTTCTAACCGTAGGCCCTCCTAGATGAACCTACTATAAGGACCTAACTGGTCTAATCAAAGGCTAAGGTAGATGTCAACCCTAAAACGACGAGAAGAAATGGTGTGAGCGATCTCTAGCATATGGGTCAAATGGTAAAGCGCGGGAAGATGGAAAGGGCGTACCAAACCAGATTGAGCGCCTTAATACGAACCTAATTGGCCAGAGTTTAACTCTTGTGCGAGTGTTTTTAGTATATGATTGGTGGGATCATATAGGAAATTGTGTATAAATGAACGCGTTCAAATATGATCGCCAAACCTTAATGATTGCGCTTGATTGGACGCGCAATGGCCACAATAGCACCGCGCATAAATCTTGACCAATCATGCGCGGTCGTTATTGCTGTGACGGATCGTTTCGGGTCAATAGAAGTATATGATCGCGGTGCAATATGCTCGATCGCTGATTGGTTTGGCGCATTAGCTCGAAATTGGTCGCGCAAACACTATTGTTTGGAATATTTGTCGGTTTCTTGTACAGTGGGCGGGCCACGTTCGAGCCCGCCACCCTGGCGAAAATTTCGGGTGGTCAATGATTGTGTACACTTATGCGGGATAGCCCTCGCACGAATGGGGAATTTCGGGGCTACAAAGCCCCGTAGGGTAATGCGCCGAAGAAAAAAAAGCCTGGAAGAATCCCCTGGCGTGGCCACTCGAGTCATTATCACCAAATTTGGTGGCCACTCGAGTAATTCGTGGCCACGCGAGGGATGGTGAATCACCTTCTTGGCCACTGGAGTCATTCTCTCACGTCCTTGCCTTCACCGATAGGCGACACCCATGGGAAAATCGTCAAGGTCTTGTTTGCTGCGATTCGTCGCACCAACTTGTAGATGTTGGTTAGAACGAGACATGTTGAACGCGACACGGATACTGCATGTCGTTAGACTCACGAAATGCGTTAATTGTCCGTGCGGCTCCGTTTGTTCGAAGGAAGGTAGTTAGACGAGAGAGAACGAGTCCGATTCGAGAACCAGGGACGACGCTGATCCGGGTGGTAGTTAGTTCCGCACTCGTTTCACTCTAACCACCAGCAAACGCGAATCTTGTCACGTGGATTACATCATGTCGGCAGGTCGAGTCGCTCTAGAGAGGTTGAGAGACAGTTGCATGTCCTCAGTGTTACCATCCGCCTCGGTATGCTTCAGCGACGCATCATGATTTTACGCAAGCCGCATCATACGAACCGCGCTACAGCCAACAATGGGAGTCTTCGTTGCGATGGCTCTGAATCATCGCCACAGCCATACCAGCGGCATCCGAACGTGCGAGCGGCACCCGACGCCTCGCCTCCTCCAGTGACCGCGTCGCTTTGAGCTAGTTGCTCTTCCCTCACGCCACACATCCAACGAGACGCGGATCTGTCTTACCTACCTCTCCACAGCCATGCAGCTGCGCACACCTCTTCCTGCGCCTATAAAGCCGGCACCATGTGCAGCCATGGAGTCATCAGCTCCAATCCGCCTCGCTTCTCACTCTCCTCCTCAAGAACCCGGTTGGCATCAGCCTTCCAGCTCTCTCCAGCTGCTTCGCAAGCCCGATTCCGAGTCATCTCACAAACCACATCAGTGCAAGCGGAGTTCTGAGGCAACTCAGCAGTCACGTCTGTGCCTTCCCGCATGGCGACGGCTGGGATGCGCGTGCTCGTGCTGGCAGCGCTGGCAGTGGGGCTGCTGGCGGCGGCAGTGAGTGGAGCGCGGGACGCCATGAAGGTAGCCAGGGGGCTGGTCCCAGAGGAGGGTGGCGCGGCTGGCGGGGTGGGCGCGGGGCAGCAGAGGAAGGGCGCGCGCATTCTGGCGGCTGAGACCTTCGCTCACCACGCGCCTCTGCCCGACTACCTTGATCACATCCCCCGCCGCCAGGCCCTCGCCACCAGTACGCAACGCTGCTCCCCTCCTCCCCCTCTCGTCCCTGCCTTGGTTCCTTAGCTCTGGTGTTCCTTTCCTCACACAATCTGTTCCTGCTCTCCTTGCCTCTCATTTCTCTGCTCTCCTGGTCTCTCATTTCTCTGCTCTCCTGGTCTCTCATTTCTCTGCTCTCCTGGTCTCTCATTTCTCTGCTCCCTTTGCCTCTCATTTCTCTGCTCCCCTTACCCCTCATTTCTCTGCTCCCATTGCCTCTCATTTCTCTGCTCTCCTTGCCTCTCATTTCTGTGCTCCCCTTACCTCTCATTTCTCTGCTCCCCTTACCTCTCATTTCTCTGCTCCCCTTACCTCTCATTTCTCTGCTCTCCTTGGCTCCCATTTTTCTGCTCACCTTACCTCTCATTCCGCTGCTCACCTTGGCTCGCATTTCTCTGCCCCCCTACCCCGTTTCTTTCGTGAAATACAGCATGGCAATGCATAATGACAACTCTGTTCTGTTCCTTTCCCCCTCCCCTCCCCCCCCCACCCCCACCAAACCCTACGTGCTTTCCAGCGTGTGGGCGCACGACGGTGACGATCCGCTCGCAGTTCCTTTCTTCTCCCTCTCTCCTTGCCTCTCATTTCACTGCTCTCCTTGGCTCTCATTTCACTGCTCTCCTTGGCTCTCATTTCTCTGCTCCCTTTACCTCATTTCTCTGCTCCCTTTACCCCTCATTTCTCTGCTCCCTTTACCCCTCATTTCTCTGTTCCTTTACCTCATTTCTCTGCTCCCCTTACCTCTCATTTCTCTGCTCCCCTTACCTCTCATTTCTCTGCTCCCCTTACCTCCCATTTCTCTGCTCCCCTTACCTCTCATTTCTCTGCTCCCCTTACCTCTCATTTCTCTGCTCCCCTTACCTCTCATTTCTCTGCTCCCCTTACCTCTCATTTCTCTGCTCCCCTTACCTCTCATTTCTCTGCTCCCCTTACCTCTCAGTTCTCTGCTCCCTTATCTCTCGGTTCTCTGCTTTCCTCACCTCCCTTTCTCTGCTCTGCGTGACTCCCATTTTTCTGCCCACCTTACCTCTCATTCCGCTGCTCCCCTTGGCTCGCATTTCTCTGTCCCCCATGCCCCGTTCCTCTCGTGAAATACAGATAACTCTGTCTATTCCTCCTCCCCCCCCCCCCCCACCCCCCCCCCCCCCCCAAACCCTACCTACTCTCCAGCATGTGGGCGCACGATGGTGACGATCCTCCCAGCATGCCTGACCCCACTCACCACTTCCCCTGTCCCCTCTGCCCTCCCTCCTGCCAGCATGCGGGCGCACAACAGAGGATTCGCTCGCAATACTGGGGCCGTACGACCTGAACTCACTTCTGCCCCCTCCGTCCCCTTCACCCCCCCTCCCCCCCCCCTCTTTCCCTGCACTCCCCAGCATGTGGGCGCACGACGGTGACGATCCGCTCGCAGTACCTGGGGCCGTACGACCTGAACTCATTCCTGCCCCCTCCCTCCCCTTATCTCCCTCCCCTTATCTCCCTCCCCCCCTTCCCTGCACTTCCCAGCGTGTGGGCGCACGACGGTGACGATCCGCTCGCAGTACCTGGGGCCGTACGACCTGAACTCATTCCTGCCCCCTCCCTCCCCTTATCTCCCTCCCCTTATCTCCCTCCCCCCCTTCCCTGCACTCCCCAGCATGTGGGCGCACAACAGTGACGATCCGCTCGCAGTACCTGGGGCCGTACGACCTGCACAACGACATCTACAACATGACCTTCTACAACGGCTGCGCCTACAACGTCACCAGCCCGCTGCGTGTGTGGCAGTGCTTCAACTTCTACAACATATGGGAGGGCGTCCTCGCCAACCCCGCGCCCAACCCCACGCAGTACCAGACAGGCGACATTTTCGTGCAGACCACGCCGGGGTACTGTGAGATGCGCATGAACCGCGGTGCTAGCGGCAAACTGCAGATGCTCCCCGGGGAGACGGTGAACATTGTGTATGCGCATTTGTGGGACTTCCGGCCCTGCGTGCAGGAGCTGCGCTTCGGCAACGGCAACAGCTACTCAATGACCAACACCACCGAGTGCCAGCTCGCCAAGGTCATCTAGACCAGGCCCCTCGTACTGTATGGTGGATAATGTTCGTGATTATTGTTTCATGTGGTGTAGCAAAGTGAGATGAAGAGGTGTAGTTGGTAGAGGGAGGAGGTGATGGGGTGGGGAGGGCTAATAATGCATGTAATGTTCACGTAACATGTAACAGAGGTTCGTACTCTTGTTTCAAATTTTGAAAGTAGCTTCTGGTGTGTTTTGGCATGCAACTTGGGAATACAGCTCAGCTCTGGAATTCGACCCATTTTAGTGGGAAACTGGGCTGAGTGGTACAGAAAAAGGCCTGAAAATCAGGAAAACCATGGGTAAAAAGCCTGATATATGAGGGCCTGCTCAACAGTATTGTACGGTAATTAGTGCAACTTTGTAAGCTATTTATGAAGTTATTGTTAACACGTGGAAACTTTATAGTTTTGAGATTCACTAAATTTGAGTGGTTTCGAAGCGTGGTGCATCTGACGCCTTCATTGTGGCACGTGATTCTAGCAGCAATACTTGCCTATTCAAGCAAACGTACAAACACCACGGATGGTTCATTTTGTAACATACTACGGTAATGATTTCTGACATGTTCTACCTGTTTAGTTCTGTTAGGTTTTGACATATGACAATACTGTTTGTTTATATGTGCCTTTTTAGGCCTACAACTTCTACCGAACTCGTCGGTGTACAATCTGGTTACTCACAATCATCGCAATTTCGGGTGCGACCCTAACGCTCGACAAGGAGCGAAACGGGCTCCACTGATCACCAAAAACGCGAATATTGCGCAGCCTATCACGTGCAGGGAATCAACAACTGGTGACAATTTTACAGTCCACAAGACCATATGCGGGGACAACTTCAGCTGCAATCTAATTAAAGCTGCAGTATACATTTGTCAGCCGGGGTTAGGGTTTTTATTGTGTTCCTCACAGCTTTGGGGCAACTTTTCAAATTTCAAAAGTTTTTGAACCCAACCTTTCAAATGTATACTGCAGCTTTAAGCCAGCGCGGTTCGCAAATGCAATCCCTAACAGTCCGCCTGGAAGAAGCTGATGGGTCGTAATCTGCCCGCGGTCAGAAAAAAATAAACCCCATCTGGATGGCATGCGATTAGGGGAGCCCCAACCCTAAACACAGGGAGCCCCAACCCTAAACACGGGCAGCCGCATGGTTCTGCCCGAAAAGATTGCATTTGAATTGTCGCACTGGGAAATTGAGATCGCAGTTCGAATTGTCCGCCATATGCGCTCTGAAGGGTGGATGTTGTTTGGGCACGTTGTCGTGGATCGCAACCAGGTCAGCGAATAGAGCTAATAACAAGTACCCCGATTTGCGGTCACATTGCGGAACGTGTCGTCATTTTGCCTGCGAACCCTACATCTGACGTATCGTTATTCATAAACGCAGGTTCATAAACGCAGCCTACGCAAGCTTCCGTAACAATAATTGCACTGGCTCATTTGCCCCGGGCATGACTCACTCGTTTCTCTTACAGCGCCTACAGACACTCACCAATCAGCAAACTCCCAGCCAGCCGCCAAGCAGACCGCCTGACCTGCCGGCGGAAGCCGCGCAGAGGGCGGAGGCTGCACGCGCAGGCGGCGACGCGACAGCAGCGCAACGAAAGGGAGCAGGGAGGGTTTCTGGGGAAGCGGAGGAGCAGCGCGGTGGCGTGCGGTTGGAGTCGGTTCTGGCCGCCAATTCCCTTGTCGCCCTGCCTGGTCGCCCCGCCGTCCCCCCTTACGCCTTCCCCTCGCCCTCCCTCCAATCTTCGCTCCTTGGCCTCCCCGCTCCCCCTCTGCACACAAGCACTTACGACCCGGCTGTGCTGGGCACTGGGTCCACAGGCAGAGGCAGTGCCATGCTCGCAGGCAAAGGCACGGGAACAGGCACGGGAACAGGGATGGGTACAGGCACGGCCACAGGCACGGGCAGGGGCACGGGCACAGGCACAGGCACGGGCACAGGCACGGGCACAGGCACGGGCACGAGTACGGGCACGGGCACGGGCACGGGCACAGGCACGGGCACAGGCACGGGCAGGGATTTGCGTGAGCGGTGGGAGCAGGCATTGCAGAGCGGCAAAGGGCGGGCGATTTGGGACGACGAGCAGACCACAGCCCTGCTGGGGATCTTGCGGGACGTGCTGCACGCTGAGGGCTCCCCCCTCCCCGGCAGGATCGACTGGGGGGCGGTGCACCGCGAGTGGTTGCGGCGAGGATTCCCGCGGTATTCGGGGGAGCAGCTGCGAATGCGGTGCAAAGTGGTGCGCGGGTGGGTGAATGACATTCAGGTGCTTCAGGAGCTGTTGCCGCCTGAAGTCGCCTGGGATCCCACCACTCAGCGCTTTAGCCCCGACCCCAAGGTGAGGTGTTGTGTGCTTGTGTATGATTTCAAGATGGGTTTACCACCGTCCTCAGCCTCCTCAGCCTCCTCTCCCTCCTCTCCCTCCTCTCCCTCCTCCCCCTCCCCTCCCTCCTCTCCCTCCTCTCCCTTCTCTTCCATCTCTCCCTCCTTTGCCTCTCCTTCCTCTCTCCCTTCCCTCCCTTTTTCCTATCTTCCTTACCCGTTCGCCTGCTCCCTCACCACCCCACACCCGCTGCTGCAGCTGGGCATCATCCCGCGGCTGAAACAACATGGGCGGTGGCGGCACTACAAGCGGTGGTGCAAGCACACGGCGCCCTGGCTGCCCCTCGCTCTGCTCAACGCCCACACGTGCCCTGCTGAGGGCCCTCTGCGGGGCGAGGAGGAGTGGGAGGAGGAGGAGGAGGAGGAGGAGGAGGAGGAGGAGGAGGAGGAGGAGGAGGAGGAGGAGGAGGAGGAGGAGGAGGAGGACGAGGAGGAGGACGAGGAGGGGGAGGAGGATTGGGAAGAGGGGGAGGGAGGGGAGGAGGATGGGGAAGAGGAGGAGGATGAAGTGGTGGAGGTGGAGGATGGGGTGGAGGAGGCGGAGGAGGAGGTTGAGGTGGAGGGAAGAGGGCGGGAGGGATGGGGCTATGGAAGGCGACTGCGGCAAGTGGCAGGGAGGTATAGGCATGAATTTGGAAGGAATGTGCGGCGCCGGATAGACAGAGGAGGGGTGGAGGGAGAGGGGGGTAGTGGAGAGCAGTGGAGGGGTGGAGAGTGGGATGGTGATGAGTGGTGGGGGACGAGGAGGGAGGGTGCGGGGCAACAGGCAGTGCAGGGAAGGGGTGTGAGGAGCAGAGGGGAACGAGAGGGTGCGGAAGCGAGAGGGGTTGGAATTGGCAGAGCTGGGAATGCCAGGGCTGGGGTTGGCAGAGCAGCTGGGGTTGGCAGTGCTGGGGCAGGACAGGAGGATGGTGGGTTAGGCTGTACAGTTGACGCACCGCGGGCCAATGGCGTTCCCCGTGGTCGCAATGTAACATTTGCTGATAGTGCTCATGCTGACGTGGCTCGTGCTGATGGGACTGGTGGTGCAAGTGCGGATGAGAGGGACGAGTACCCTGCGAGGCTGGCAGCGCGGATCGCTGGCATGGCGGCGAGCAGGAGGGAGCAAGGGGATGGAAGAGGGGAGGGGTTGAGGGCGATGGAGGAGGGGCCGGGGATGGGGGAGATGGAGGAGGAGGAAGTGGCAGTGCGAGGTGTGGGGATGGGGTTCCTGAGGGGCAGAATGGGGTGGGGTAGAGACAGGGAAGGGAGCGAGGGCAGGAGGGGAGAGTGGGGAGGGGTGTGAAGCGGTTGAGGCCGGTGTGGGTGCAGGCGATGGAGAGGAAGCGGCAGCGGCGGGTGATGGAGAGTGTGGCGCGTGCCCTCAAGAGCATGGCTGAGAAGGGGCAGCCACACGTGCATAGAGGTGGGTGATGAGAAGGCACACATGCTTAGAGGTAGGTGATGTCGCACGTGCATGGATGTATGTCATGTGCATGAAGGTGTGGTGTGATGAGGTATGATGTGCTATGATGTGCTGTGATGGAACAGGATGGGAGTGGATGGGATGGGATGGGATGGGATGCTATGGGATGGGATGGGATGGGATGGGACGGGATGGAACTAGATGAGATTGATGGAAACATGTGAATCTAGGGAGCGTAGAGATTAAGTCTGTGGATTTTGACGGACCATTGCGTGCAGTTCACGTAACCTCAAAATATGAGCAGATACGCGTTGGAAAGGTCTCAATCTATTCTCTCCAAAATGGTAAACCACGCCTTCAACCAAAATTTCGGCCGGTCGCTATCGTGATTTGAGTGCGACGGTGTATTCTGACAGAATTACTAGGAAGCCATGGATTATATCTATGAATAGCTTTAACAAAAGTTCAGATATGAAAAGGTGACGAGTTTGACAGAATCTACAATCTCAACTCTCGCCCTACAACAATTCCCAACAACCCAAAGTGCCAAACTAGCAACACTGAGGGTGTTGTAGTGAATAACAAATGTTTGTTGGTGCTTGTTGGGTGCGAGTTCAATTCCAGCCCGCAACAAATTTAGTAATCACATTTCTCCCAAGCCCTTGTCCACAATAAGCTAGATCAGTATCATACAACCAGCTACACAAACATCAAAGATAGGATGGATTGTCATGTGAAGACACATGTGCCTGCCAGTGGAAACGAAAAGTGTCAATTTCTCCAGGATCAGAGAGTGAATTGCTGGTCCAAGTAGATATGGCAGGAGACCTGATGTCAGAATGACCAAATGAAAATAGCAATTAAAATTATGGTTATTGTACTAAATAACCCCTTTTTTCTCCCTTCCCACCACTCCCTTCCAATCCCCGTTCCCCACCAGACGCGGTGGCGGACAGTGTGGTCAAGGCGGTGGAGGACGTGCAGGCCCTCCCCTCTCTCACGAACGCGCAGCGCGCAGCGGCCATCGACGCCTTTCTGCAGCGCCCCCTCGCCGCCCACGCCTTCCAGGCCATGCGCCCCGCCCTGCAGACCCTCTTCGCCCGCCGCGCCCACGCCCAGGCCATTGAGAGGCAGCTGGCCGGCGTGCAGGCCGTCGCCGCTGCTGCTGGGGGGGGAGATGGGGCGCTCACAGACCAGCAGCTTGCGGGGCTGCAGGGCGTGACAGCCGGTGTTGGGGCGGGAGCGGGGACAGGGGGAATGGTTGGGAGCGGGGGTGTGGAGGCGATGGGGTTTGGGTCAACTGGAGTGGGGGGTATGGGAACAGTGGGGGTGGGAACAGGGGGGGTGAGAACAGCTGGGGTGGGAACATGGGCAGTGGGAACAGCGGGGGTGGGAACAAGGAGGGTGGGAACAGCGGGGGTGGGAACAGCGGGGGTGGCAATAGCAGGGGTGGGAACAGGGGGTGTGGGAACAGGGGGTGTGGGAACAGGGCGTGTGGGAACAGCGGGGATGGGAACAGCGGGGATGGGCATGGGGGGTACAGGGGTGGGGGAGGAAATGGGAAGAGAGGGGACGAGCATGGTGGGAACGGTTATGGGGGGAACGCGGATGGGGGAACCGGGATTCGGTTTGAGGGGATTGGGGACGGTGGGGCAAACAGGGGCAGTGGGAGGTGTGGCAGGAGGTGGGAGTGTAGCAGGAGGTGGAGGTGTGGCAAGAAGTGGGGGTTTGCCAGGAGGTGGAGGTGTTGATGCAGGAGCAGGGGGTGTGGGAACGGCAGCAGCAGGTACAGTAGCAGCAGCCCCAGCAGGAGAAGGGAGGGGTGCACAAGGTGTGGGAGGGGTTGCAGGGGGAGTAGGGGAAACCGGGGCGGCAGCAGGGGCAAGAGGAGCAGGAGGGTTGGGCGGCACACAAGGGGCGGGCGGCGTGGCAGGGCTGCAGGTGCTGGGGCCTCGCGTGCAGGAGTTGATGCAGGAGTTGGTTAGAGAGATCCTGGGAGCAGTCAATGCGAGTCAACAGATGGTCAGCACGGGTCAACAGGCAGTCAGCGCTGGTCAAGGGGCGGTCAATGCTGGTCAATGGGCGGTCAACGCAGGTCACACGAACTGGCAATCCAGTGGTGGTCAATGGGATTCGATGCGAGTGCCATGAGTGTGTGGCTGCTAGATTAGCGATGAGAACACGTGAATGCACAGTCAACTTGAGTCAAGATGGAGTCAATGCGGGTCAAGATAGAGTCAACGCGAGTCAACCAGTGGTCAATGCGGATCCAAGGAGGGGAGTGGTAGCGAATCAAGTGGAGACAGCTGTCGGCCAATCAGGGTTAGGTGCAGGTCGTGTGGGGACAGCTGCTGTGCTAGAGACAAGAAATGCTGGTCAAGCACCAGTCAACGCGGGTCAAGCACGAAGAAACGCCGGTCAAGCACGAGTCAACACTGGTCAAGCAGCAGTCAACGCCGGTCAAGCACGAGTCAACGCTGGTCTAGCACGATTAAACACTGGTCACACAACAGTCAACGCCGGCCAAGCACGAGTCAACCCTGGTCAAGCACCAGTCAACACTGGTCGCGCAGCAGCCAACGCCAGTCAAGCACGAGTCAACGATGGTCAAGCACCAGTCAACGCGGGTCAAGCACGAATAAACGCCGGTCAAGCACGAGTCAACACTGGTCAAGCAGTAGTCAACGCCGGTCAAGCACGAGTCAACGCTGGTCTAGCACGATTAAACACTGGTCACACAACAGTCAACGCCGGTCAAGCACGAGTCAATGCTGGTCACGCAGCAGTCAACCCTGGTCAAGCACCAGTCAACACTGGTCACGCACTGGTCAACGCTGGTCAAGCACCATTCACTGCTGGTCAAGCACCAGTCAACGCTGGTCAAGCACTGATCAACGTTAGTCAACCACCATTCAACGCGTTTCAAGCACTGGTCAACGCTGGTCAAGCACCATTCACTGCTGGTCAAGCATTGGTCAACGCTGGTCAATCACCATTCACTGCTGGTCAAGCACCAGTCAACGCTGGTCAAGCACCATTCAGTGTTGTTCAAGCAATGGTCAACGCTGGTCAAGCACCACCAGCCAACGCTGTTCAAGCGCTGGTCAACGCCGGTCAAGCACCATTCACTGTTGGTCAAGCACTAGTCAACGCTGGTCAAGCATCATTCAACGCTGGTCAAGCACCATTCAACGCTGGTCAAGCACTGGTCAACGCTGGTCAAGCACCATTCAACGCTGGTCAAGCACTGGTCAACGCTGGTCAAGCACCATTCAACGCTGGTCTATGGGCTGCTAATGCAGGTGGAGGGGTGGGCCAAGGCAGAGCAGAGGGAGGAGGGGTGTGGAGGGACGCAGCAATCCTGGGGCTGCTATTGAAGCTGCTGCAAGGCCAGGCGAAGGAAACGGATGGGGCTGTGGCGAGGGGACAGGGGGAAAACGGCGGGAGGGGTGGGGAGCAGGGAGGGCAGCAGGGAGGGCAGCAGGGAGGGCAGCAGGGAGGGGGGCGGGGTGGGGAGCAGGGAGGGGGGCAGGGAGGGGGGCAGGGAGGGGGGCAGGGAGGGGGGCAGGAAGGGGGGCAGGGAGGGGGGCAGGGAGGGGGGCAGGGAGGGGAGCAGGGAGGGGGGCAAGGAGGGAATCGGGGAGGGAATCAGGGAGGGAATCAGGGAGCGGATGAGAGAGTCAGCTTGCCGGGAGAAAGTGGCAGTGGAGGGGGGCACTTCACTCTGTCGCACCGCTGTGTGGCGGATGGGCCGGCAGGGCAGTGCAGCCTGTGCAGCATCGTTGCCAATTTCGCCAAAATGGTGGGCGCCCAGGGTGGCCTGATGGGGGTTGCTGCTGGGGGAGGAGTGCCCGCAGCAAGCGATCTGAGGGGGAGTGGTGGTGGGGAAGCGGTGGCTGTGCCGAGTGAAGGAGGAGGGGGTGGTGGGGGAGATGTACGCATGTCAGGAGGACGAGGTGGGAGTGGTGGTAGAGGGGAGGAGGGGATGGTCGTTGAGGTTGAAGGGGGTGGGGCGGGAGATACGGGAGAGGTGAGAGAGACGGGAGAGGTGAGAGAGACGGGAGAGGTGCGAGAGACGGGAGAGGTGAGAGAGACGGGAGAGGTGAGAGAGACGGGAGAGGTGAGAGAGACGGGAGAGGTGAGAGAGACGGGAGAGGTGAGAGAGACGGGAGAGGTGAGAGAGACGGGAGAGGTGAGAGAGACGGGAGAGGTGAGAGAGACGGGAGAGGTGAGAGAGACGGGAGAGGTGAGAGAGACGGGAGAGGTGAGAGAGACGGGAGAGGTGCGAGAGACGGGAGAGGTGAGAGAGACGGGAGAGGTGAGAGAGACGGAAGAGGTGCGAGAGGTGAGGCCAGGGGGAGGTGGAGAGGGACGGGGGGCTGGAGAAGGAGGGGAGGGCGTAGAAGGAGGGGGGAATGGGGGAGGGGGGGGTGGAGAGGGAGGGGGTGGTGGAGAGGAACAGAGGGTTGGAGAAGGAGGGGAGGGTGGAGGGTTGGGCGGCACAGGTTGGTTGGGCGGCATGGCAGGGCTGCAGCTGATGGGGCATCGCGTGGAGGAGTTTGTTGGAAGTGAGAGCCTGGGAGCAGTCAACGCGAGTCAACAGATGGCCAGCACAGGTCAACAGGCAGTCAACGCTGGTCAAGGGGCAGTGGACATGCGCCAATCAGCAGTGAATCAAGGTCCATTGGAAAGTGTGGGTGCAGGCGAAGGGGCAGTCAACGCTGGTCAAGCAGCAGTCAACGCAGGTCAAGGGGCAGTGAACGCAGGTCACACGGGGATGACTGGCAATCCAGTGGTGGTGAACTGGATTCAATGCAAGTGCCGTGAGTGTCTGGTTGCTACCTTGGCGGCCAGAATACGTGAAGGTGCTGTCAACCTGAGTCAAGCAGCAGGCAATCCAATTCAAGCAGTAGTCAATCCAATTCAAGCAGCAGTCTATGTGGCAAGTCAACTTGTGGCCAATGCGGATCCAAGGAGGAGAGTGGCAGCGAATCAGGTGGAGACAGCTGTCGGTCAACGAGGATTTAATGCAGGTCGTGCAGTCAATGCTGGTCAAGCACCAGTCAACTCTGGTCAAGCACCACTCAACTATGGTCGTTGGGCTGCTAATGCAGGTGGAGGGATGGGTCAAGGCAGAACAGAGGGAGGAGGAGTGGAAGGAAGAGGAGGGGCTTGGAGGGAATCAACGATCGTGGGACTGCTGCAGCTGCTGCTACAAGGCAAGGCGAAGGAAAGGGGTGGGGCTGTGGCGAGGGGACAGGGGGAGAACGGCGGGCAAAGAGTGGAGCAGGGAGGGCAGCAGGGCGAGGAGCAGAGAAGGGGTCAGGGAGGGGGGCAGGGAGGGGTGGCAGGGAGGGGGACAGGGAGAGGGGCAGGGAGTGGGGCAGGGAGTGGGGCAGGGAGAGGGGCAGGAGTGGGGCAGGAAGGTGGGCAGGGGGGGGAAGGACAGGGAGGGGAGCGAGGAGGACAGCAGGGAGGGGAGCAGGGAGGGGAGCAGGGAGGGGAGCAGGGAGGGGAGCAGGGAGGGGAGCAGGGAGGGGAGCAGGGAGGAGGGGGAGCAGGGAGGGGAGCAGGGAGGGGAGCAGGGAGGGGAGCAGGGAGGGGAGCAGGGAGGGGAGCAGGGAGGGGAGCAGGGAGGGGAGCAGGGAGGGGAGCAGGGAGGGGAGCAGGGAGGGGAGCAGGGAGGGGAGCAGGGAGGGGAGCAGGGAGGGGAGCAGGGAGGGGAGCAGGGAGGGGAGCAGGAGGGAGCAGGGAGGGGAGCAGGGGAGGGGAGCAGGGAGGGGAGGGGAGCAGGGAGGGGAGCAGGGAGGGGAGCAGGGAGGGGAGCAGGGAGGGGAGCAGGGAGGGGAGCAGGGAGGGGAGCAGGGAGGGAGCAGGGAGGGGAGCAGGGAGGGGAGCAGGGAGGGGAGCAGGGAGGGGAGCAGGGAGGGGAGCAGGGAGGGGAGCAGGGAGGGGAGCAGGGAGGGGAGCAGGGAGGGGAGCAGGGAGGGGAGCAGGGAGGGGAGCAGGGAGGGGAGCAGGGAGGGGAGCAGGGAGGGGAGCAGGGAGGGGAGCAGGAGGGGAGCAGGGAGGGGAGCAGGGAGGGGAGCAGGGAGGGGAGCAGGGAGGGGAGCAGGGAGGGGAGCAGGGAGGGGAGCAGGGAGGGAGCAGGGAGGGGAGCAGGGAGGGGAGCAGGGAGGGGAGCAGGGAGGGGAGCAGGGAGGGGAGCAGGGAGGGGAGCAGGGAGGGGAGCAGGGAGGGGAGCAGGGAGGGGAGCAGGGAGGGGAGCAGGGAGGGGAGCAGGGAGGGGAGCAGGGAGGGGAGCAGGGAGGGGAGCAGGGAGGGGAGCAGGGAGGGGAGCAGGGAGGGGAGCAGGGAGGGGAGCAGGGAGGGGAGCAGGGAGGGGAGCAGGGAGGGGAGCAGGGAGGGGAGCAGGGAGGGGAGCAGGGAGGGGAGCAGGGAGGGGAGCAGGGAGGGGAGCAGGGAGGGGAGCAGGAGGGAGCAGGGAGGGGAGCAGGGAGGGGAGCAGGGAGGGGAGCAGGGAGGGGAGCAGGGAGGGGAGCAGGGAGGGAGCAGGGAGGGGAGCAGGGAGGGGAGCAGGGAGGGGAGCAGGGAGGGGAGCAGGGAGGGGAGCAGGGAGGGGAGCAGGGAGGGGAGCAGGGAGGGGAGCAGGGAGGGGATGAGAGAGTGGGGACTGTGAGCAGCGGTAGGCGCCTATGGTGGCCTGGGGGGGGTTGCTGTTGGGGGAGGAGTGCCCGCAGCAAGCGATCTGAGGGGGAGTGGTGGTAGGGAAGCGGCCGTGCCAAGCAATGGTGGGAGTGGTGGCAGGGAAGCGGCCGTGCCAAGCAATGGTGGGAGTGGTGGTAGGGAAGCGGCCGTGCCAAGCAATGGTGGGAGTGGTGGTGGGGAAGCGGTGGCGAGTGAAGGAGGAGGGGGTGATGTGGGAGAGTTGCGCTTGTCGGTGGGGGGAGGGGGGAGTGGTGGTGGAGGGGCAGAGGGGATGGGGGTTTCGGGTGAGGGTGGGGAGGTGAGGGCAGAGGTGGGTGGAGAGGGACGGGGGGATGGAGAAGGAGAGGGGAGTGGAGAAGGAAGGGGGGACGGAGAGGGAGAGGGGGATAAAGATGAAGGTACACGAACTTCCCGCTCAGAAGCAGCCAGTGCAAGGGGCGGCTGTGAGTGGAGGGAAGGAGTTGAGGGCGAGGAGTTGAGTGAGGGGAGGGGAATCGTGTGTGTGAGTGACGGGGTTATCGTGCTTGAGGAGAGAGATGTGATTATGGGGGAGGCAGGTACTTCTGAGGGGGAAGGGGATGTGACTATGGGGAAAGGGGATGTGACTATGGGGGAAGCGGATGTGACTATGGGGGAAGCGGATGTGACTATGGGGGAAGCGGACATGAGTGTGACGGGCGGAGACCTCGTTATGGGGGAAGGGACAACAACTGTGGGGGGGAGTGGACATCAATGGAACGGCAGTTGATTCGAGTGGGAAGGAGGGAGAGACGAGTGGGAAGGAGGGAGAGACGAGTGGGAAGGAGGGAGAGACGAGTGGGAAGGAAGGAGAGACGAGTGGGAAGGAGGGAGAAACGAGTGGGAAGGAGGGAGAGACGAGTGGGAAGGAGGGAGAAACGAGTGGGAAGGAAGGAGAGACGAGTGGGAAGGAGGGAGAAACGAGTGGGAAGGAGGGAGAGACGAGTTGGAAGGAGGGAGAGACGAGTGGGAAGGAGGGAGAGACGAGTGGGAAGGAGGGGGAAACGAGTGGGAAGGAGGGAGAAACGAGTTGGAAGGAGGGAGAAACGAGTGGGAAGGAGGGAGAGACGAGTGTGAAGGAGGGAGAGACGAGTGGGAAGGAGGGAGAGACGAGTGGGAAGGAGGGAGAGACGAGTGGGAAGGAGGGAGAAACGAGTGGGAAGGAGGGAGAGACGAGTGGGAAGGAGGGAGAAACGAGTGGGAAGGAGGGAGAGACGAGTTGGAAGGAGGGAGAGACGAGTGGGAAGGAGGGAGAGACGAGTGGGAAGGAGGGAGAAACGAGTGGGAAGGAGGGAGAAACGAGTGGGAAGGAGGGAGAAACGAGTGGGAAGGAGGTGGAAACGAGTGGGAAGGAGGGGGAGACGAGTGGGAAGGAGGGAGAGACGAGTAGAAAGGAGGGAGAGACGAGTGGGAAGGAGGGAGAAACGAGTGGGAAGGAGGGAAAGACGAGTGGGAAGGAGGTGGAAACGAGTGGGAAGGAGGGGGAAACGAGTGGGAAGGAGGGAGAGACGAGTAGAAAGGAGGGAGAGACGAGTGGGAAGGAAGGAGAGACGAGTGGGAAGGAGGGAAAGACGAGTGGGAAGGAGGGAGAAACGAGTGGGAAGGAGGGAGAAACGAGTGGGAAGGAGGGAGAAACGAGTGGGAAGGAGGGAGAGACGAGTGTGAAGGAGGGAGAAACGAGTGGGAAGGAAGGAGAGACGAGTGGGAAGGAGGGAGAGACGAGTGGGAAGGAGGGAGAAACGAGTGGGAAGGAGGGAGAGACGAGTGGGAAGGATGGAGAAACGAGTGGGAAGGAGGGAGAGACGAGTTGGAAGGAGGGAGAGACGAGTGGGAAGGAGGGAGAGACGAGTGGGAAGGAGGGGGAATCGAGTGGGAAGGAGGGAGAAACGAGTGGGAAGGAGGGAAAGACGAGTGGGAAGGAGGTGGAAACGAGTGGGAAGGAGGGGGAGACGAGTGGGAGGGAGGGAGAAACGAGTGGGAACGAGGGAGAGACGAGTGGGAAGGAGGGAGAAACGAGTAGGAAGGAGGGAGAGACGAGTGGGAAGGAGGGAGACACGAGTGGGAAGGAGGGGGAAATGAGTAAGGAGGAGGGAGAAACGAGTGGGAAGGAGGGAGAGACGAGTGGGAGGGAGGTAGAAACGAGTGGGAAGGAGGGAGAGACGAGTGGGAAGGAGGGAGAAACGAGTAGGAAGGAGGGAGAGACGAGTCAGAAGGAGGGAGACACGAGTGGGAAGGAGGGGGAAACGAGTGGGAAGGAGGGAGAGACGAGTGAGAGGGAGGTAGAAACGAGTGGGAAGGAGGGAGAGACGAGTGGGAAGGAGGGAGAAACGAGTGGGAAGTAAGGAGAGACGAGTGGGAAGGAGGGAGAGACGAGTGGGAAGGAGGGAGAAACGAGTAGGAAGGAGGGAGAGACGAGTGGGAGGGAGGGAAAGACGAGTGGGAGGGAGGGAAAGACGAGTGGGAGGGAGGGAAAGACGAGTGGGAAGGAAGGAGAAACGAGTAGGAAGGAGGAGGAAGATGCTATGGGAAAAGGCGATATGAGTGCAACGGAAGGAGAGGAAGGAGGCATGAGCTCAGGGGAAGGCAAGGTGCAAGTGGCTTCAGAGACAGGCTGTGAAGGTCACTTGATTGTCAATGATGGTCAGGGGGGAAGTGATTCTCGTGAAATGGCAGTCAACGAGGGTCAGGGAGCAGTCAATGAGAGTCAAGCCGCAGTCAATGAGAGTCAAGGTGCAGTCAATGAGAGTCAAGGCGCAGTCAATGAGAGTCAAGGCGCAGTCAATGAGGTTCAAGGCGTGGAGGGTGCAAGTCAAAAGATTAACAAGTGATGGTCAAATGGCATTCAGCAAAAGTCAATGCGCAGTCAACGGTGGTCAAGAAGCGAGCAGCGGGGGTGAGAGTGGGGGCGTGCTCAATGAGCGTTCAGCAGAAGACCATGCAAGTCAGTCACAGGAGGGTGGAGGTGAAGTGAAGGGGGCAGGGGGTGAAAGGGAAGCAAGGGCAGGTCAAACCAACCAATGTGGTGTAAATGGGTCGGATGAGGTGGAGTGGGAAGATGAGGCAGGCACGGACTGAAATTGTAGTGAGGTGATGGGTGGGGGCCATCCAGCCAGCCAGGGCAGGGATGCGTGATCAGGCGAAACTCGTTTGATGGTCTGATTTTGCGACCTAGTAAACTTTCAATCAAAGGACTTCAACTTTTATGATGTACAGTGAGCATTTCAAAATGTGGTGGCCACAATATTCTCTGTGGCAAGCCCATGTGAGTTTACACACTCCGCCTAAACTCAATATAAAGTCTTATTGCTTCCACGGTACATTAATATACAGAAACAGACTATATCGCACTAATGGTTGCTGCGGACTGCGCCTGAGGTCATCATCACGTCACGTGCTAAATGGTGGCCACGCCTTCAGCCATGGCGAGGCCAAGCGAGTCCTGAGACACTTTGACGTACTCCACTCGCAGGTACGGCAGAGAGGGCAGCGAGAGGGGGATGGAGGGGTTGTCCGGGGGAGGGATCACCCCCGATGTCAGTGCCTGATGAGGGTGATGGGTATGGGAGGAAAGGAGGAGGGGGAAAGGGGGGAGAAATTACTCCCGATGTCAGCGTCTGATGTGGTGGATAATCCCAGATGTCAGCGCCGGCTGGGTTTGGGGAGAGAATCCATGGAGGGACATCTTGCAAGGTCAGTTGCTGATGGACGTCCGTGATGGGGTAGGGAGGGCAGGTTGGCTGCTGATGCTAGCGCCGGATGGAGTGGGTGGGTGTGATGGGGTGGGGGCGGTGGGGGGGGGAAGAAGTCAGTGGGAGGGTAGACTCGCAAGGCTAATTCCTCGTGGACGTTTGTGATGGGGGAGGGCGGGACGTAATAAAAGGGGGTTTTTTGAGACGCCTCAAAAACTCCCTTTTATCACATGGACGTTCGTGATGAGAAAAGGGGGAGGAGGGGGGGGGGGGGGGGGGGGTGGGGGGTGGGGGGGAGGGGAGGAGGGGTGGGGGGGTGACTGCTTTTGTTAGCGCCTGAAGAGGAGGGAGGGGGGGGGGGGTGTGACAAGGTGATCTATTGGGAGTTGGGGAAGGGGAGAGGGTGCCGCGTGCCAATGTCAGTGCCTACAATCTACGCGTGATAGCAACAGTGTGAGCACATGACCGTTCACCCCTACAAGCACCTCCACACCCACCTCTACAAGCACCACCTAACTCAGCCCAGGGAGGCCTAGAAAATGATGTCCTTGCGTCTTCTGAATAACATTTGCTCGTCATTCTCAATGACATTTCGTCACCTGTGCGCTCCTTCTTAGTGATTCGTGCTGAAAGATTATCCAGGCACTTCATCTGTTCTTTAGGAGCGAGAGACCAAGAATTAGGTTCGGATTTCATTTATATTGTTCACCACATCAGCCAACCCTTTCTCTGTTTGCACGTGGGTTGTGTTCTCAGATTAGATCCAGGCTATTTAGACTGGTTCCAGGTCTCTTATTCGTCGTTTGTAAATCGTGAACAATTTCGTTGTTTAGGAGCCACGGAGCTTAAGTGCGTTCGGCTTGTAAATAGATGGCTCCTAAATAACGAAATTGTTCACGATTTACAAACGACGAATAAGAGACCTGGAACCAGTTGCAATAGCCTGGATATAATTTGAGAACACACTCCACTGCAAACAGAGAAAGGGTTGGCTGATGTGGTGAACAACAAAAATGAAATCCGAACCTAATTCCTGGTCTCTCGCTCCTAAAGAACAGATGAAGTGCCTGGATAATCTGTCCGCACGAATCACTAAGAAGGAGCTCACCGGTGAAAGAATGTCAGTAAGAATGATGAGCAACTGTTATTCAGGAAACGCAAGGACATCATTTTCCAGGACTGAAAGGTGGGTTGGAGTCACTGCAGTTGCCTTCACCTCCCACTCTTTGCCGCCTTTAAGCCCTCGTCTCTGTCACACACGTCTCTGTCACACTAGTACATAAAAGGCCTGAAATTGCACCCCTATGAGCGCCTGCCAGCTTATTTGGGTGGCACAGATGGCGTCGATCAGTTGCCCCCCACCTGCCCATCGTTCACCTTTCAATGAACACTCAACTCTGTAAGAACCTCTGAAAAAAACCTCATTCTCTACTCCTCACTCAAGCACATAAGCCACGCTCACCCCTATTCCTCCTCACTCTAGCACTTCGCCACGCTCACCCCTATTCCACCTCACTCTAGCACCTTCGCCACACTCACCCCTATTCTTCCTCACTCTAGCACCTTCGCCACAGTCACCCCTATTCCTCCTCACTCTAGCACCTTCGCCACGCTCACCCCTATTCCTCCTCACTCTAGCACCTTCACCACGCTCACCCCTATTCCCCCTCACTCTAGCACCTTCGCCACGCTCACCCCTATTCCTCCTCACTCTAGCACATTCGCCACACTCACCCCTATTCCTCCTCACTCTAGCACCTTCGCCACGCTCATCCCTATTCCTCCTCACTCTAGCGCCTTCACCACACTCACCCCTATTCCTCCTCAATCTAGCACCTTCGCCACGCTCACCCCTATTCCTCCTCACTCTAGCACATTCGCCACGCTCACCCCTATTCCCCCTCACTCTAGCACATTCGCCACACTCACCCCTATTCCTCCTCACTCTAGCACCTTCGCCACGCTCACCCCTATTCCTCCTCACTCTAGCACCTTCGCCACACTCACCCCTATTCCTCCTCACTCTAGCACCTTCGCCACGCTCACCCCTATTCCCCCTCACTCTAGCACCTTCGCCACGCTCACCCCTATTCCTCCTCACTCTAGCACCTTCGCGACGCTCACCCCTATTCCCCCTCACTCTAGCACCTTCGCCACACTCACCCCTATTCCTCCTCACTCTAGCAACTTCGCCACGCTCACCCCTATTCCTCCTCACTCTAGCACCTTCGCCACGCTCACCCCTATTCCCCCTCACTCTAGCACATTCGCCACGCTCACCCCTATTCCTCCTCACTCTAGCACATTCGCCACGCTCACCCCTATTCCCCCTCACTCTAGCACCTTCGCGACGCTCACCCCTATTCCCCCTCACTCTAGCACCTTCGCCACACTCACCCCTATTCCTCCTCACTCTAGCAACTTCGCCACGCTCACCCCTATTCCCCCTCACTCTAGCACCTTCGCCACGCTCACCCCTATTCCCCCTCACTCTAGCACCTTCACCACGCTCACCCCTATTCCTCCTCACTCTAGCACCTTCGCCACCCTCACCCCTATTCCTCCTCACTCTAGCACCTTCGCCACGCTCACCCCTATTCCCCCTCACTCTAGCACCTTCGCCACGCTCACCCCTATTCCCCCTCACTCTAGCACCTTCGCCACGCTCACCCCTAGTCCTCCTCACTCTAGCACCTTCGCCAAGCTCACCCCTATTCTCCCTCACTCTAGCACCTTCGCCACGCTCACCCCTATTCCTCCTCACTCTAGCACCTTCGCCACGCTCACCCCTATTCCTCCTCACTCTAGCACCTTCGCCACGCTCACCCTTATTCCCCCTCACTCTAGCACCTTCGCCACGCTCACCCCTATTCCCCCTCACTCTAGCACCTTCGCCACGCTCACCCCTAGTCCTCCTCACTCTAGCACCTTCGCCAAGCTCACCCCTATTCTCCCTCACTCTAGCACCTTCGCCACGCTCACCCCTATTCCTCCTCACTCTAGCACCTTCGCCACGCTCACCCCTATTCCTCCTCACTCTAGAACCTTCGCCATGCTCACCCTTATTCCCCCTCACTCTAGCACCTTCGCCACGCTCACCCCTATTCCCCCTCACTCTAGCACCTTCGCCACGCTCACCCCTATTCCCCCTCACTCTAGCACCTTCGCCACACTCATCCCTATTCCCCCTCGCTCTAGCACCTTCGCCGCGCTCACCCCTATTCCTCCTCACTCTAGCACATTCGCCACACTCACCCCTATTCCTCCTCACTCTAGCACCTTCGCCACGCTCATCCCTATTCCTCCGCACTCTAGCGCCTTCACCACACTCACCCCTATTCCTCCTCACTCTAGCACCTTCGCCACGCTCACCCCTATTCCTCCTCATTCTAGCACCTTCGCCACGCTCACCCCTATTCCCCCTCACTCTAGCTCATTCGCCACGCTCACCACTATTGCTCCTCACTCTAGCACATTCGCCACGCTCACCCCTATTCCCCCTCACTCTAGCACATTCGCCACACTCACCCCTATTCCTCCTCACTCTAGCACCTTCGCCACACTCACCCCTATTCCTCCTCACTCTAGCACCTTCGCCACACTCACCCCTATTCCTCCTCACTCTAGCACATTCGCCACGCTCACCCCTATTCCTCCTCACTCTAGCACCTTCGCAACGCTCACCCCTATTCCTCCTCACTCTAGCACCTTCGCCACGCTCACCCCTATTCCTCCTCACTCTAGCACCTTCGCCACGCTCACCCCTATTCCCTCTCACTCTAGCACCTTCGCAACGCTCACCCCTATTCCTCCTCACTCTAGCACCTTCGCCACGCTCACCCCTATTCCCCCTCACTCTAGCACCTTCGCCACGCTCACCCCTATTCCTCCTCACTCTAGCACCTTCGCCACGCTCACCCCTATTACTCCTCACTCTAGCACCTTCGCAACGCTCACCCCTATTCCTCCTCACTCTAGCACCTTCGCCACGCTCACCCCTATTCCCTCTCACTCTAGCACCTTCGCCACGCTCACCCCTATTCCTCCTCACTCTAGCACCTTCGCCACGCTCACCCCTATTCCTCCTCACTCTAGCACCTTCGCCACGCTCACCCCTATTCCCCCTCACTCTAGCACCTTCGCCACGCTCACCCCTATTCCTCCTCACTCTAGCACCTTCGCCACGCTCACCCCTATTCCTCCTCACTCTAGCACCTTCGCCACGCTCACCCCTATTCCCTCTCACTCTAGCACCTTCGCCACGCTCACCCCTATTCCTCCTCACTCTAGCACCTTCGCCACGCTCACCCCTATTCCCCCTCACTCTAGCACCTTCGCCACGCTCACCCCTATTCCTCCTCACTCTAGCACCTTCGCCACGCTCACCCCTATTCCTCCTCACTCTAGCACCTTCGCCACGCTCACCCCTATTCCTCCTCACTCTAGCACCTTCGCCACGCTCACCCCTATTCCTCCTCACTCTAGCACCTTCGCCAACCTCACCCCTATTCCTCCTCACTCTAGCACCTTCGCCACGCTCACCCCTATTCCTCCTCACTCTAGCACCTTCGCCACGCTCACCCCTAGTCCCCCTCACTCTAGCACCTTCGCAACGCTCACCCCTAGTCCTCCTCACTCTAGGACCTTCGCCACGCTCACCCCTATTCCTCCTCACTCTAGCACCTTCGCCACGCTCACCCCTATTCCTCCTCACTCAAGAACATTTGCCAGGCTCACCCCTATTCCTCCTCACTCTAGCACCTTCGCCACACTCACCCCTATTCCTCCTCACTCTAGCACCTTCGCCACACTCACCCTTATTCCTCCTCACTCTAGCACCTTCGCCACGCTCACCCCTATTCCTCCTCACTCTAGCACCTTCGTCACGCTCACCCCTATTCCTCCTCACTCTAGCACCTTCGTAATGCTCACCCCTATTCCTCCTCACTCTAGCACCTTCGCCACGCTCACCCCTATTCCTCCTCACTCTAGCACCTTCGCCACGCTCACCCCTGTTCCTCCTCACTCTAGAACCTTCGCCACGCTCACCCCTATTCCTCCTCACTCTAGCACCTTCGTAATGCTCACCCCTATTCCTCCTCACTCTAGCACCGTCGTAATGCTCACCCCTATTCCTCCTCACTCTAGCACCTTCGTAATGCTCACCCCTATTCCTCCTCACTCTAGCACCGTCGTAATGCTCACCCCTATTCCTCCTCACTCTAGCACCTTCGCCACCCTCACCCCTAGTCCCCCTCACTCTAGCACCTTCGCCACGCTCACCCCTAGTCCTCCTCACTCTAGCACCATCGCCACGCTCACCCCTATTCCTCCTCACTCTAGCACCTTCGCCACGCTCACCCCTATTCCTCCTCACTCTAGAACCTTCGCCACGCTCACCCCTATTCCTCCTCACTCTAGCACCTTCGCCACCCACACCCCTATTCCTCCTCACTCTAGCACCTTCGCCACGCTCACCCCTGTTCCTCCTCACTCTAGCACCTTCGCCACGCTCACCCCTATTCCTCCTCACTCTAGCACCTTCGCCACTCACCCCTATTCCTCCTCACTCTAGCACCTTCGTCACGCTCACCCCTATTCCTCCTCACTCTAGCACCTTCGTAATGCTCACCCCTATTCCTCCTCACTCTAGCACCTTCGCCACGCTCACCCCTAGTCCTCCTCACTCTAGCACCATCGCCACGCTCACCCCTATTCCTCCTCACTCTAGCACCTTCGCCACGCTCACCCCTATTCCTCCTCACTCTAGAACCTTCGCCACGCTCACCCCTATTCCTCCTCACTCTAGCACCTTCGCCACCCACACCCCTATTCCTCCTCACTCTAGCACCTTCGCCACGCTCACCCCTGTTCCTCCTCACTCTAGCACCTTCGCCACGCTCACCCCTATTCCTCCTCACTCTAGCACCTTCGCCACTCACCCCTATTCCTCCTCACTCTAGCACCTTCGTCACGCTCACCCCTATTCCTCCTCACTCTAGCACCTTCGTAATGCTCACCCCTATTCCTCCTCACTCTAGCACCTTCGCCACGCTCACCCATATTCCCCCTCACTCTAGCACCTTCGCCACGCTCACCCCTATTCCTCCTCACTCTAGCACCTTCGCCACGCTCACCCCTATTCCTCCTCACTCTAGCACCTTCGCCACACTCACCCCTATTCCTCCTCACTCTAGCACCTTCGCCACACTCACCCCTATTCCCCCTCACTCTAGCACCTTCGCCACGCTCACCCCTATTCCCCCTCACTCTAGCACCTTCGTAATGCTCACCCCTATTCCTCCTCACTCTAGCACCGTCGTAATGCTCACCCCTATTCCTCCTCACTCTAGCACCTTCGTAATGCTCACCCCTATTCCTCCTCACTCTAGCACCGTCGTAATGCTCACCCCTATTCCTCCTCACTCTAGCACCTTCGCCACCCTCACCCCTAGTCCCCCTCACTCTAGCACCTTCGCCACGCTCACCCCTAGTCCTCCTCACTCTAGCACCATCGCCACGCTCACCCCTATTCCTCCTCACTCTAGCACCTTCGCCACGCTCACCCCTATTCCTCCTCACTCTAGAACCTTCGCCACGCTCACCCCTATTCCTCCTCACTCTAGCACCTTCGCCACCCTCACCCCTATTCCTCCTCACTCTAGCACCTTCGCCACGCTCACCCCTGTTCCTCCTCACTCTAGCACCTTCGCCACGCTCACCCCTATTCCTCCTCACTCTAGCACCTTCGCCACTCACCCCTATTCCTCCTCACTCTAGCACCTTCGTCACGCTCACCCCTATTCCTCCTCACTCTAGCACCTTCGTAATGCTCACCCCTATTCCTCCTCACTCTAGCACCTTCGCCACGCTCACCCCTATTCCTCCTCACTCTAGCACCTTCGCCACGCTCACCCCTATTCCCTCTCTCTCTAGCACCTTCGCCACGCTCACCCCTATTCCTCCTCACTCTAGCACCTTCGCCACGCTCACCCCTATTCCCCCTCACTCTAGCACCTTCGCCACGCTCACCCCTATTCCTCCTCACTCTACCACCTTCGCCACGCTCACCCCTATTCCTCCTCACTCTAGCACCTTCGCCACGCTCACCCCTATTCCTCCTCACTCTAGCACCTTCGCCACGCTCACCCCTATTCCTCCTTACTCTAGCACCTTCGCCAACCTCACCCCTATTCCTCCTCACTCTAGCACCTTCGCCACGCTCACCCCTATTCCTCCTCACTCTAGCACCTTCGCCACGCTCACCCCTAGTCCCCCTCACTCTAGCACCTTCGCAACGCTCACCCCTAGTCCTCCTCACTCTAGGACCTTCGCCACGCTCACCCCTATTCCTCCTCACTCTAGCACCTTCGCCACGCTCACCCCTATTCCTCCTCACTCAAGAACATTTGCCAGGCTCACCCCTATTCCTCCTCACTCTAGCACCTTCGCCACACTCACCCCTATTCCTCCTCACTCTAGCACCTTCGCCACACTCACCCTTATTCCTCCTCACTCTAGCACCTTCGCCACGCTCACCCCTATTCCTCCTCACTCTAGCACCTTCGTCACGCTCACCCCTATTCCTCCTCACTCTAGCACCTTCGTAATGCTCACCCCTATTCCTCCTCACTCTAGCACCTTCGCCACGCTCACCCCTATTCCTCCTCACTCTAGCACCTTCGCCACGCTCACCCCTGTTCCTCCTCACTCTAGAACCTTCGCCACGCTCACCCCTATTCCTCCTCACTCTAGCACCTTCGTAATGCTCACCCCTATTCCTCCTCACTCTAGCACCGTCGTAATGCTCACCCCTATTCCTCCTCACTCTAGCACCTTCGTAATGCTCACCCCTATTCCTCCTCACTCTAGCACCTTCGCCACCCTCACCCCTAGTCCCCCTCACTCTAGCACCTTCGCCACGCTCACCCCTAGTCCTCCTCACTCTAGCACCATCGCCACGCTCACCCCTATTCCTCCTCACTCTAGCACCTTCGCCACGCTCACCCCTATTCCTCCTCACTCTAGAACCTTCGCCACGCTCACCCCTATTCCTCCTCACTCTAGCACCTTCGTCACGCTCACCCCTATTCCTCCTCACTCTAGCACCTTCGTAATGCTCACCCCTATTCCTCCTCACTCTAGCACCTTCGCCACCCTCACCCCTAGTCCCCCTCACTCTAGCACCTTCGCCACGCTCACCCCTAGTCCTCCTCACTCTAGCACCATCGCCACGCTCACCCCTATTCCTCCTCACTCTAGCACCTTCGCCACGCTCACCCCTATTCCTCCTCACTCTAGAACCTTCGCCACGCTCACCCCTATTCCTCCTCACTCTAGCACCTTCGCCACCCTCACCCCTATTCCTCCTCACTCTAGCACCTTCGCCACGCTCACCCCTGTTCCTCCTCACTCTAGCACCTTCGCCACGCTCACCCCTATTCCTCCTCACTCTAGCACCTTCGCCACGCTCACCCCTATTCCTCCTCACTCTAGCACCTTCGCCACACTCACCCCTATTCCTCCTCACTCTAGCACCTTCGCAACGCTCACCCCTATTCCTCCTCACTCTAGCACCTTCGCCACGCTCACCCCTATTCCTCCTCACTCTAGCACCTTCGCCACTCACCCCTATTCCTCCTCACTCTAGCACCTTCGTCACGCTCACCCCTATTCCTCCTCACTCTAGCACCTTCGTAATGCTCACCCCTATTCCTCCTCACTCTAGCACCTTCGCCACGCTCACCCCTATTCCTCCTCACTCTAGCACCTTCGCCACGCTCACCCCTGTTCCTCCTCACTCTAGAACCTTCGCCACGCTCACCCCTATTCCTCCTCACTCTAGCACCTTCGTAATGCTCACCCCTATTCCTCCTCACTCTAGCACCGTCGTCATGCTCACCCCTATTCCTCCTCACTCTAGCACCTTCGCCACCCTCACCCCTAGTCCCCCTCACTCTAGCACCTTCGCCACGCTCACCCCTAGTCCTCCTCCCTCTAGCACCATCGCCACGCTCACCCCTATTCCTCCTCACTCTAGCACCTTCGCCACGCTCACCCCTATTCCTCCTCACTCTAGCACCTTCGCCACGCTCACCCCTATTCCTCCTCACTCTAGCACCTTCGCCACCCTCACCCCTATTCCTCCTCACTCTAGCACCTTCGCCACGCTCACCCCTATTCCTCCTCACTCTAGCACCTTCGCCACACTCACCCCTATTCCTCCTCACTCTAGCACCTTCGTAATGCTCACCCCTATTCCTCCTCACTCTAGCACCTTCGTAATGCTCACTCCTATTCCTCCTCACTCTAGCACCTTCGCCACGCTCACCCCTATTCCTCCTCACTCTAGCACCTTCGCCACGCTCACCCTTATCCCTCCTCACTCTAGCACCTTCGCCACGCTCACCCCTATACCTCCTCACTCTAGCACCTTCGCCACGCTCACTCCTACTCCTCCTCACTCTAGCACCTTCGCCACACTCACCCCTATTCCCCCTCACTCTAGCACCTTCGCCACGCTCACCCCTATTCCTCCTCACTCTAGCACATTCGCCACGCTCACCCCTATTCCTCCTCACTTTAGCACCTTCGCAACGCTCACCCCTATTCCTCCTCACTCTAGCACCTTCGCCACGCTCACCCCTATTCCTCCTCACTCTAGCACCTTCGCCACGCTCACCCCTATTCCCTCTCACTCTAGCACCTTCGCCACGCTCACCCCTATTCCTCCTCACTCTAGCACCTTCGCCACGCTCACCCCTATTCCCCCTCACTCTAGCACCTTCGCCACGCTCACCCCTATTCCTCCTCACTCTAGCACCTTCGCCACGCTCACCCCTATTACTCCTCACTCTAGCACCTTCGCAACGCTCACCCCTATTCCTCCTCACTCTAGCACCTTCGCCACGCTCACCCCTATTCCCTCTCACTCTAGCACCTTCGCCACGCTCACCCCTATTCCTCCTCACTCTAGCACCTTCGCCACGCTCACCCCTATTCCTCCTCACTCTAGCACCTTCGCCACGCTCACCCCTATTCCCCCTCACTCTAGCACCTTCGCCACGCTCACCCCTATTCCTCCTCACTCTAGCACCTTCGCCACGCTCACCCCTATTCCTCCTCACTCTAGCACCTTCGCCACGCTCACCCCTATTCCCTCTCACTCTAGCACCTTCGCCACGCTCACCCCTATTCCTCCTCACTCTAGCACCTTCGCCACGCTCACCCCTATTCCCCCTCACTCTAGCACCTTCGCCACGCTCACCCCTATTCCTCCTCACTCTAGCACCTTCGCCACGCTCACCCCTATTCCTCCTCACTCTAGCACCTTCGCCACGCTCACCCCTATTCCTCCTCACTCTAGCACCTTCGCCACGCTCACCCCTATTCCTCCTCACTCTAGCACCTTCGCCAACCTCACCCCTATTCCTCCTCACTCTAGCACCTTCGCCACGCTCACCCCTATTCCTCCTCACTCTAGCACCTTCGCCACGCTCACCCCTAGTCCCCCTCACTCTAGCACCTTCGCAACGCTCACCCCTAGTCCTCCTCACTCTAGGACCTTCGCCACGCTCACCCCTATTCCTCCTCACTCTAGCACCTTCGCCACGCTCACCCCTATTCCTCCTCACTCAAGAACATTTGCCAGGCTCACCCCTATTCCTCCTCACTCTAGCACCTTCGCCACCCTCATCCCTATTCCTCCTCACTCTAGCACCTTCGCCACGCTCACCCCTATTCCTCCTCACTCTAGCACCATCGCCACGCTCACCCCTATTCCTCCTCACTCTAGCACCTTCGCCACGCTCACCCCTATTCCTCCTCACTCTAGAACCTTCGCCACGCTCACCCCTATTCCTCCTCACTCTAGCACCTTCGTCACGCTCACCCCTATTCCTCCTCACTCTAGCACCTTCGTAATGCTCACCCCTATTCCTCCTCACTCTAGCACCTTCGCCACCCTCACCCCTAGTCCCCCTCACTCTAGCACCTTCGCCACGCTCACCCCTAGTCCTCCTCACTCTAGCACCATCGCCACGCTCACCCCTATTCCTCCTCACTCTAGCACCTTCGCCACGCTCACCCCTATTCCTCCTCACTCTAGAACCTTCGCCACGCTCACCCCTATTCCTCCTCACTCTAGCACCTTCGCCACCCTCACCCCTATTCCTCCTCACTCTAGCACCTTCGCCACGCTCACCCCTGTTCCTCCTCACTCTAGCACCTTCGCCACGCTCACCCCTATTCCTCCTCACTCTAGCACCTTCGCCACGCTCACCCCTATTCCTCCTCACTCTAGCACCTTCGCCACACTCACCCCTATTCCTCCTCACTCTAGCACCTTCGCAACGCTCACCCCTATTCCTCCTCACTCTAGCACCTTCGCCACGCTCACCCCTATTCCTCCTCACTCTAGCACCTTCGCCACGCTCACCCCTATTCCTCCTCACTCTAGCACCTTCGCCACGCTCACCCCTATTCCTCCTCACTCTAGCACCTTCGCCACCCTCACCCCTATTCCTCCTCACTCTAGCACCTTCGCCACGCTCACCCCTATTCCTCCTCACTCTAGCACCTTCGCCACACTCACCCCTATTCCTCCTCACTCTAGCACCTTCGTAATGCTCACCCCTATTCCTCCTCACTCTAGCACCTTCGTAATGCTCACTCCTATTCCTCCTCACTCTAGCACCTTCGCCACGCTCACCCCTATTCCTCCTCACTCTAGCACCTTCGCCACGCTCACCCTTATCCCTCCTCACTCTAGCACCTTCGCCACGCTCACCCCTATACCTCCTCACTCTAGCACCTTCGCCACGCTCACTCCTACTCCTCCTCACTCTAGCACCTTCGCCACACTCACCCCTATTCCCCCTCACTCTAGCACCTTCGCCACGCTCACCCCTATTCCTCCTCACTCTAGCACATTCGCCACGCTCACCCCTATTCCTCCTCACTTTAGCACCTTCGCAACGCTCACCCCTATTCCTCCTCACTCTAGCACCTTCGCCACGCTCACCCCTATTCCTCCTCACTCTAGCACCTTCGCCACGCTCACCCCTATTCCCTCTCACTCTAGCACCTTCGCCACGCTCACCCCTATTCCTCCTCACTCTAGCACCTTCGCCACGCTCACCCCTATTCCCCCTCACTCTAGCACCTTCGCCACGCTCACCCCTATTCCTCCTCACTCTAGCACCTTCGCCACGCTCACCCCTATTACTCCTCACTCTAGCACCTTCGCAACGCTCACCCCTATTCCTCCTCACTCTAGCACCTTCGCCACGCTCACCCCTATTCCCTCTCACTCTAGCACCTTCGCCACGCTCACCCCTATTCCTCCTCACTCTAGCACCTTCGCCACGCTCACCCCTATTCCTCCTCACTCTAGCACCTTCGCCACGCTCACCCCTATTCCCCCTCACTCTAGCACCTTCGCCACGCTCACCCCTATTCCTCCTCACTCTAGCACCTTCGCCACGCTCACCCCTATTCCTCCTCACTCTAGCACCTTCGCCACGCTCACCCCTATTCCCTCTCACTCTAGCACCTTCGCCACGCTCACCCCTATTCCTCCTCACTCTAGCACCTTCGCCACGCTCACCCCTATTCCCCCTCACTCTAGCACCTTCGCCACGCTCACCCCTATTCCTCCTCACTCTAGCACCTTCGCCACGCTCACCCCTATTCCTCCTCACTCTAGCACCTTCGCCACGCTCACCCCTATTCCTCCTCACTCTAGCACCTTCGCCACGCTCACCCCTATTCCTCCTCACTCTAGCACCTTCGCCAACCTCACCCCTATTCCTCCTCACTCTAGCACCTTCGCCACGCTCACCCCTATTCCTCCTCACTCTAGCACCTTCGCCACGCTCACCCCTAGTCCCCCTCACTCTAGCACCTTCGCAACGCTCACCCCTAGTCCTCCTCACTCTAGGACCTTCGCCACGCTCACCCCTATTCCTCCTCACTCTAGCACCTTCGCCACGCTCACCCCTATTCCTCCTCACTCAAGAACATTTGCCAGGCTCACCCCTATTCCTCCTCACTCTAGCACCTTCGCCACCCTCATCCCTATTCCTCCTCACTCTAGCACCTTCGCCACGCTCACCCCTATTCCTCCTCACTCTAGCACCTTCGCCACACTCACCCCTATTCCTCCTCACTCTAGCACCTTCGTAATGCTCACTCCTATTCCTCCTCACTCTAGCACCTTCGCCACGCTCACCCCTATTCCACCTCACTCTAGCACCTTCGCCACGCTCACCCCTATTCCTCCTCACTCTAGCACCTTCGCCACGCTCACCCCTATTCCTCCTCACTCTAGCACCTTCGCCACGCTCACCCCTATTCCCTCTCACTCTAGCACCTTCGCCACGCTCACCCCTATTCCTCCTCACTCTAGCACCTTCGCCACGCTCACCCCTATTCCTCCTCACCCTAGCACCTTCGCCACGCTCACCCGTATTCCCCCTCACTCTAGCACCTTCGCCACGCTCACCCCTAGTCCTCCTCACTCTAGCACCTTCGCCACGCTCACCCCTAGTCCTCCTCACTCTAGCACCTTCGCCACGCTCACCCCTAGTCCTCCTCACTCTAGCACCTTCGTAATGCTCACCCCTATTCCTCCTCACTCTAGCACCTTCGCCACGCTCACCCCTATTCCTCCTCACTCTAGCACCTTCGCCACCCTCACCCCTATTCCTCCTCACTCTAGCACCTTCGCCACGCTCACCCCTATTCCTCCTCACTCTAGCACCTTCGCCACGCTCACCCCTATTCCTCCTCACTCTAGCACCTTCGCCACGCTCACCCCTATTCCCCCTCACTCTAGCACCTTCGCCACCCTCACCCCTATTCCTCCTTACTCTAGCACCTTCGCCACGCTCACCCCTAGTCCTCCTCACTCTAGCACCTTCGCCACGCTCACCCCTAGTCCTCCTCACTCTAGCACCTTCGTAATGCTCACCCCTATTCCTCCTCACTCTAGCACCTTCGCCACGCTCACCCCTATTCCCTCTCACTCTAGCACCTTCGCCACGCTCACCCCTATTCCTCCTCACTCTAGCACCTTCGCCACGCTCACCCCTATTCCTCCTCACTCTAGCACCTTCGCCACGCTCACCCCTGTTCCTCCTCACTCTAGAACCTTCGCCACGCTCACCCCTATTCCTCCTCACTCTAGCACCTTCGTAATGCTCACCCCTATTCCTCCTCACTCTAGCACCGTCGTAATGCTCACCCCTATTCCTCCTCACTCTAGCACCTTCGCCACCCTCACCCCTAGTCCCCCTCACTCTAGCACCTTCGCCACGCTCACCCCTAGTCCTCCTCACTCTAGCACCATCGCCACGCTCACCCCTATTCCTCCTCACTCTAGCACCTTCGCCACGCTCACCCCTATTCCTTCTCACTCTAGAACCTTCGCCACGCTCACCCCTATTCCTCCTCACTCTAGCACCTTCGCCACCCTCACCCCTATTCCTCCTCACTCTAGCACCTGCGCCACGCTCACCCCTATTCCTCCTCACTCTAGCACCTTCGCCACACTCACCCCTATTCCTCCTCACTCTAGCACCTTCGTAATGCTCACCCCTATTCCTCCTCACTCTAGCACCTTCGTAATGCTCACTCCTATTCCTCCTCACTCTAGCACCTTCGCCACGCTCACCCCTATTCCTCCTCACTCTAGCACCTTCGCCACGCTCACCCTTATCCTCCTCACTCTAGCACCTTCGCCACGCTCACCCCTATACCTCCTCACTCTAGCACCTTCGCCACACTCACCCCTATTCCCCCTCACTCTAGCACCTTCGCCACGCTCACCCCTATTCCTCCTCACTCTAGCACATTCGCCACGCTCACCCCTATTCCTCCTCACTCTTGCACCTTCGCAACGCTCACCCCTATTCCTCCTCACTCTAGCACCTTCACCACGCTCACCCCTATTCCTCCTCACTCTAGCACCTTCGCCACGCAAACCCCTATTCCCTCTCACTCTAGCACCTTCGCCACGCTCACCCCTATTCCTCCTCACTCTAGCACCTTCGCCACGCTCACCCCTATCCCCCCTCACTCTAGCACCTTCGCCACGCTCACCCCTATTCCTCCTCACTCTAGCACCTTCGCCACGCTCACCCCTATTACTCCTCACTCTAGCACCTTCGCAACGCTCACCCCTATTCCTCCTCACTCTAGCACCTTCGCCACGCTCACCCCTATTCCCTCTCACTCTAGCACCTTCGCCACGCTCACCCCTATTCCTCCTCACTCTAGCACCTTCGCCACGCTCACCCCTATTCCTCCTCGCTCTAGCACCTTCGCCACGCTCACCCCTATTCCCCCTCACTCTAGCACCTTCGCCACGCTCACCCCTATTCCTCCTCACTCTAGCACCTTCGCCACGCTCACCCCTATTCCTCCTCACTCTAGCACCTTCGCCACGCTCACCCCTATTCCCCCTCACTCTAGCACCTTCGCCACGCTCACCCCTATTCCTCCTCACTCTAGCACCTTCGCCACGCTCACCCCTATTCCTCCTCACTCTAGCACCTTCGCCACGCTCACCCCTATTCCTCCTCACTCTAGCACCTTCGCCACGCTCACCCCTACTCCTCACTCTAGCACCTTCGCCACGCTCACCCCTATTCCTCCTCACTCTAGCACCTTCGCCAACCTCACCCCTATTCCTCCTCACTCTAGCACCTTCGCCACGCTCACCCCTATTCCTCCTCACTCTAGCACCTTCGCCACGCTCACCCCTAGTCCCCCTCACTCTAGCACCTTCGCAACGCTCACCCCTAGTCCTCCTCACTCTAGGACCTTCGCCACGCTCACCCCTATTCCTCCTCACTCTAGCACCTTCGCCACGCTCACCCCTATTCCTCCTCACTCAAGAACATTTGCCAGGCTCACCCCTATTCCTCCTCACTCTAGCACCTTCGCCACACTCACCCCTATTCCTCCTCACTCTAGCACCTTCGCCACACTCACCCTTATTCCTCCTCACTCTAGCACCTTCGCCACGCTCACCCCTATTCCTCCTCACTCTAGCACCTTCGTCACGCTCACCCCTATTCCTCCTCACTCTAGCACCTTCGTAATGCTCACCCCTATTCCTCCTCACTCTAGCACCTTCGCCACGCTCACCCCTATTCCTCCTCACTCTAGCACCTTCGCCACGCTCACCCCTGTTCCTCCTCACTCTAGAACCTTCGCCACGCTCACCCCTATTCCTCCTCACTCTAGCACCTTCGTAATGCTCACCCCTATTCCTCCTCACTCTAGCACCGTCGTAATGCTCACCCCTATTCCTCCTCACTCTAGCACCTTCGTAATGCTCACCCCTATTCCTCCTCACTCTAGCACCGTCGTAATGCTCACCCCTATTCCTCCTCACTCTAGCACCTTCGCCACCCTCACCCCTAGTCCCCCTCACTCTAGCACCATCGCCACGCTCACCCCTATTCCTCCTCACTCTTGCACCTTCGCAACGCTCACCCCTATTCCTCCTCACTCTAGCACCTTCACCACGCTCACCCCTATTCCTCCTCACTCTAGCACCTTCGCCACGCAAACCCCTATTCCCTCTCACTCTAGCACCTTCGCCACGCTCACCCCTATTCCTCCTCACTCTAGCACCTTCGCCACGCTCACCCCTATCCCCCCTCACTCTAGCACCTTCGCCACGCTCACCCCTATTCCTCCTCACTCTAGCACCTTCGCCACGCTCACCCCTATTACTCCTCACTCTAGCATCTTCGCAACGCTCACCCCTATTCCTCCTCACTCTAGCACCTTCGCCACGCTCACCCCTATTCCCTCTCACTCTAGCACCTTCGCCACGCTCACCCCTATTCCTCCTCACTCTAGCACCTTCGCCACGCTCACCCCTATTCCTCCTCGCTCTAGCACCTTCGCCACGCTCACCCCTATTCCCCCTCACTCTAGCACCTTCGCCACGCTCACCCCTATTCCTCCTCACTCTAGCACCTTCGCCACGCTCACCCCTATTCCTCCTCACTCTAGCACCTTCGCCACGCTCACCCCTATTCCCCCTCACTCTAGCACCTTCGCCACGCTCACCCCTATTCCTCCTCACTCTAGCACCTTCGCCACGCTCACCCCTATTCCTCCTCACTCTAGCACCTTCGCCACGCTCACCCCTATTCCTCCTCACTCTAGCACCTTCGCCACGCTCACCCCTATTCCTCCTCACTCTAGCACCTTCGCTACGCTCACCCCTATTCCTCCTCACTCTAGCACCTTCGCCAACCTCACCCCTATTCCTCCTCACTCTAGCACCTTCGCCACGCTCACCCCTATTCCTCCTCACTCTAACACCTTCGCCACGCTCACCCCTAGTCCCCCTCACTCTAGCACCTTCGCAACGCTCACCCCTAGTCCTCCTCACTCTAGGACCTTCGCCACGCTCACCCCTATTCCTCCTCACTCTAGCACCTTCGCCACGCTCACCCCTATTCCTCCTCACTCAAGAACATTTGCCAGGCTCACCCCTATTCCTCCTCACTCTAGCACCTTCGCCACACTCACCCCTATTCCTCCTCACTCTAGCACCTTCGCCACACTCACCCTTATTCCTCCTCACTCTAGCACCTTCGCCACGCTCACCCCTATTCCTCCTCACTCTAGCACCTTCGTCACGCTCACCCCTATTCCTCCTCACTCTAGCACCTTCGTAATGCTCACCCCTATTCCTCCTCACTCTAGCACCTTCGCCACGCTCACCCCTATTCCTCCTCACTCTAGCACCTTCGCCACGCTCACCCCTGTTCCTCCTCACTCTAGAACCTTCGCCACGCTCACCCCTATTCCTCCTCACTCTAGCACCTTCGTAATGCTCACCCCTATTCCTCCTCACTCTAGCACCGTCGTAATGCTCACCCCTATTCCTCCTCACTCTAGCACCTTCGTAATGCTCACCCCTATTCCTCCTCACTCTAGCACCGTCGTAATGCTCACCCCTATTCCTCCTCACTCTAGCACCTTCGCCACCCTCACCCCTAGTCCCCCTCACTCTAGCACCATCGCCACGCTCACCCCTATTCCTCCTCACTCTAGCACCTTCGCCACGCTCACCCCTATTCCTCCTCACTCTAGAACCTTCGCCACGCTCACCCCTATTCCTCCTCACTCTAGCACCTTCGCCACCCTCACCCCTATTCCTCCTCACTCTAGCACCTTCGCCACGCTCACCCCTGTTCCTCCTCACTCTAGCACCTTCGCCACGCTCACCCCTATTCCTCCTCACTCTAGCACCTTCGCCACGCTCACCCCTATTCCTCCTCACTCAAGAACATTTGCCAGGCTCACCCCTATTCCTCCTCACTCTAGCACCTTCGCCACACTCACCCCTATTCCTCCTCACTCTAGCACCTTCGCCACACTCACCCTTATTCCTCCTCACTCTAGCACCTTCGCCACGCTCACCCCTATTCCTCCTCACTCTAGCACCTTCGTCACGCTCACCCCTATTCCTCGTCACTCTAGCACCTTCGTAATGCTCACCCCTATTCCTCCTCACTCTAGCACCTTCGCCACGCTCACCCCTATTCCTCCTCACTCTAGCACCTTCGCCACGCTCACCCCTGTTCCTCCTCACTCTAGAACCTTCGCCACGCTCACCCCTATTCCTCCTCACTCTAGCACCTTCGTAATGCTCACCCCTATTCCTCCTCACTCTAGCACCGTCGTAATGCTCACCCCTATTCCTCCTCACTCTAGCACCTTCGTAATGCTCACCCCTATTCCTCCTCACTCTAGCACCGTCGTAATGCTCACCCCTATTCCTCCTCAGTCTAGCACCTTCGCCACCCTCACCCCTAGTCCCCCTCACTCTAGCACCATCGCCACGCTCACCCCTATTCCTCCTCACTCTAGCACCTTCGCCACGCTCACCCCTATTCCTCCTCACTCTAGAACCTTCGCCACGCTCACCCCTATTCCTCCTCACTCTAGCACCTTCGCCACCCTCACCCCTATTCCTCCTCACTCTAGCACCTTCGCCACGCTCACCCCTGTTCCTCCTCACTCTAGCACCTTCGCCACGCTCACCCCTATTCCTCCTCACTCTAGCACCTTCGCCACGCTCACCCCTATTCCTCCTCACTCTAGCACCTTCGCCACACTCACCCCTATTCCCCCTTACTCTAGCACCTTCGCCACGCTCACCCCTATTCCCCCTCACTCTAGCACCTTCGCCACGCTCACCCCTATTCCTCCTCACTCAAGCACCTTCGCCACGCTCACCCCTATTCCAACTCACTCTAGCACCTTCGCCACTCACCCCTATTCCTCCTCACTCTAGCACCTTCGTCACGCTCACCCCTATTCCTCCTCACTCTAGCACCTTCGTAATGCTCACCCCTATTCCTCCTCACTCTAGCACCTTCGCCACGCTCACCCCTATTCCTCCTCACTCTAGCACCTTCGCCACGCTCACCCCTGTTCCTCCTCACTCTAGAACCTTCGCCACGCTCACCCCTATTCCTCCTCACTCTAGCACCTTCGTAATGCTCACCCCTATTCTTCCTCACTCTAGCACCGTCGTAATGCTCACCCCTATTCCTCCTCACTCTAGCACCTTCGCCACCCTCACCCCTAGTCCCCCTCACTCTAGCACCTTCGCCACGCTCACCCCTAGTCCTCCTCACTCTAGCACCATCGCCACGCTCACCCCTATTCCTCCTCACTCTAGCACCTTCGCCACGCTCACCCCTATTCCTCCTCACTCTAGAACCTTCGCCACGCTCACCCCTATTCCTCCTCACTCTAGCACCTTCGCCACCCTCACCCCTATTCCTCCTCACTCTAGCACCTTCGCCACGCTCACCCCTATTCCTCCTCACTCTAGCACCTTCGCCACACTCACCCCTATTCCTCCTCACTCTAGCACCTTCGTAATGCTCACCCCTATTCCTCCTCACTCTAGCACCTTCGTAATGCTCACTCCTATTCCTCCTCACTCTAGCACCTTCGCCACGCTCACCCCTATTCCTCCTCACTCTAGCACCTTCGCCACGCTCACCCTTATCCCTCCTCACTCTAGCACCTTCGCCACGCTCACCCCTATACCTCCTCACTCTAGCACCTTCGCCACGCTCACTCCTACTCCTCCTCACTCTAGCACCTTCGCCACACTCACCCCTATTCCCCCTCACTCTAGCACCTTCGCCACGCTCACCCCTATTCCTCCTCACTCTAGCACATTCGCCACGCTCACCCCTATTCCTCCTCACTTTAGCACCTTCGCAACGCTCACCCCTATTCCTCCTCACTCTAGCACCTTCGCCACGCTCACCCCTATTCCTCCTCACTCTAGCACCTTCGCCACGCTCACCCCTATTCCCTCTCACTCTAGCACCTTCGCCACGCTCACCCCTATTCCTCCTCACTCTAGCACCTTCGCCACGCTCACCCCTATTCCCCCTCACTCTAGCACCTTCGCCACGCTCACCCCTATTCCTCCTCACTCTAGCACCTTCGCCACGCTCACCCCTATTACTCCTCACTCTAGCACCTTCGCAACGCTCACCCCTATTCCTCCTCACTCTAGCACCTTCGCCACGCTCACCCCTATTCCTCCTCACTCTAGCACCTTCGCCACGCTCACCCCTATTCCTCCTCACTCTAGCACCTTCGCCACGCTCACCCCTATTCCTCCTCACTCTAGCACCTTCGCCACGCTCACCCCTATTCCCCCTCACTCTAGCACCTTCGCCACGCTCACCCCTATTCCTCCTCACTCTAGCACCTTTGCCACGCTCACCCCTATTCCTCCTCACTCTAGCACCTTCGCCACGCTCACCCCTATTCCCTCTCACTCTAGCACCTTCGCCACGCTCACCCCTATTCCTCCTCACTCTAGCACCTTCGCCACGCTCACCCCTATTCCTCCTCACTCTAGCACATTCGCCACGCTCACCCCTATTCCTCCTCACTTTAGCACCTTCGCAACGCTCACCCCTATTCCTCCTCACTCTAGCACCTTCGCCACGCTCACCCCTATTCCTCCTCACTCTAGCACCTTCGCCACGCTCACCCCTATTCCCTCTCACTCTAGCACCTTCGCCACGCTCACCCCTATTCCTCCTCACTCTAGCACCTTCGCCACGCTCACCCCTATTCCCCCTCACTCTAGCACCTTCGCCACGCTCACCCCTATTCCTCCTCACTCTAGCACCTTCGCCACGCTCACCCCTATTACTCCTCACTCTAGCACCTTCGCAACGCTCACCCCTATTCCTCCTCACTCTAGCACCTTCGCCACGCTCACCCCTATTCCTCCTCACTCTAGCACCTTCGCCACGCTCACCCTATTCCTCCTCACTCTAGCACGCTCACCCCTATTCCTCCTCACTCTAGCACCTTCGCCACACTCACCCCTATTCCTCCTCACTCTAGCACCTTCGCCACGCTCACCCCTATTCCTCCTCACTCTAGCACCTTCGCCACGCTCACCCCTATTCCCCCTCACTCTAGCACCTTCGCCACGCTCACCCCTATTCCTCCTCACTCTAGCACCTTCGCCACGCTCACCCCTATTCCTCCTCACTCTAGCACCTTCGCCACGCTCACCCCTATTCCCTCTCACTCTAGCACCTTCGCCACGCTCACCCCTATTCCTCCTCACTCTAGCACCTTCGCCACGCTCACCCCTATTCCTCCTCACTCTAGCACCTTCGCCACGCTCACCCCCTATTCCTCCTCACTCTAGCACCTTCGCCACGCTCACCCCTATTCCCCCTCACTCTAGCACCTTCGCCACGCTCACCCCTATTCCTCCTCACTCTAGCACCTTCGCCACGCTCACCCTATTACTCCTCACTCTAGCACCTTCGCCAACGCTCACCCCTATTCCTCCTCACTCTAGCACCTTCGCCACGCTCACCCCTATTCCTCCTCACTCTAGCACCTTCGCCACGCTCACCCCTATTCCTCCTCACTCTAGCACATTCGCCACGCTCACCCCTATTCCTCCTCACTCTAGCACCTTCGCCACACTCACCCCTATTCCTCCTCACTCTAGCACCTTCGCCACGCTCACCCCTATTCCTCCTCACTCTAGCACCTTCGCCACGCTCACCCCTATTCCCCCTCACTCTAGCACCTTCGCCACGCTCACCCCTATTCCTCCTCACTCTAGCACCTTGCCACGCTCACCCCTATTCCTCCTCACTCTAGCACCTTCGCCACGCTCACCCCTATTCCCTCTCACTCTAGCACCTTCGCCACGCTCACCCTATTCCTCCTCACTCTAGCACCTTCGCCACGCTCACCCCTATTCCTCCTCACTCTAGCACATTCGCCACGCTCACCCCTATTCCTCCTCACTTTAGCACCTTCGCAACGCTCACCCCTATTCCTCCTCACTCTAGCACCTTCGCCACGCTCACCCCTATTCTCCTCACTCTAGCACCTTCGCCACGCTCACCCCTATTCCCTCTCACTCTAGCACCTTCGCCACGCTCACCCCTATTCCTCCTCACTCTAGCACCTTCGCCACGCTCACCCCTATTCCCCCTCACTCTAGCACCTTCGCCACGCTCACCCCTATTCCTCCTCACTCTAGCACCTTCGCCACGCTCACCCCTATTACTCCTCACTCTAGCACCTTCGCAACGCTCACCCCCTATTCCTCCTCACTCTAGCACCTTCGCCACGCTCACCCCTATTCCTCCTCACTCTAGCACCTTCGCCACGCTCACCCCTATTCCTCCTCACTCTAGCACATTCGCCACGCTCACCCCTATTCCTCCTCACTCTAGCACCTTCGCCACACTCACCCCTATTCCTCCTCACTCTAGCACCTTCGCCACGCTCACCCCTATTCCTCCTCACTCTAGCACCTTCGCCACGCTCACCCCTATTCCCCCTCACTCTAGCACCTTCGCCACGCTCACCCCTATTCCTCCTCACTCTAGCACCTTCGCCACGCTCACCCCTATTCCTCCTCACTCTAGCACCTTCGCCACGCTCACCCCTATTCCCTCTCAACTCTAGCACCTTCGCCACGCTCACCCCTATTCCTCCTCACTCTAGCACCTTCGCCACGCTCACCCCTATTCCTCCTCACTCTAGCACCTTCGCCACGCTCACCCCTATTCCTCCTCACTCTAGCACCTTCGCCACGCTCACCCCTATTCCCCTCACTCTAGCACCTTCGCCACGCTCACCCCTATTCCTCCTCACTCTAGCACCTTCGCCACGCTCACCCCTATTCCTCCTCACTCTAGCACCTTCGCCACGCTCACCCCTATTCCTCCTCACTCTAGCACCTTCGCCACGCTCACCCCTATTCCTCCTCACTCTAGCACCTTCGCCACGCTCACCCCTATTCCCCCTCACTCTAGCACCTTCGCCACGCTCACCCCTATTCCTCCTCACTCTAGCACCTTCGCCACGCTCACCCCTATTCCTCCTCACTCTAGCACCTTCGCCACGCTCACCCCTATTCCCTCTCACTCTAGCACCTTCGCCACGCTCACCCCTATTCCTCCTCACTCTAGCACCTTCGCCACGCTCACCCCTATTCCTCCTCACTCTAGCACCTTCGCCACGCTCACCCCTATTCCTCCTCACTCTAGCACCTTCGCCACGCTCACCCCTATTCCCCCTCACTCTAGCACCTTCGCACGCTCACCCCTATTCCTCCTCACTCTAGCACCTTCGCCACGCTCACCCCTATTCCTCCTCACTCTAGCACCTTCGCCACGCTCACCCCTATTCCTCCTCACTCTAGCACCTTCGCCACGCTCACCCCTATTCCTCCTCACTCTAGCACCTTCGCCACGCTCACCCCTATTCCTCCTCACTCTAGCACCTTCGCCAACCTCACCCCTATTCCTCCTCACTCTAGCACCTTCGCCACGCTCACCCTATTCCTCCTCACTCTAGCACCTTCGCCACGCTCACCCCTAGCCCCCCTCACTCTAGCACCTTCGCAACGCTCACCCCTAGTCCTCCTCACTCTAGGACCTTCGCCACGCTCACCCCTATTCCTCCTCACTCTAGCACCTTCGCCACGCTCACCCCTATTCCTCCTCACTCAAGAACATTTGCCAGGCTCACCCCTATTCCTCCTCACTCTAGCACCTTCGCCACCCTCACCCCAATTCCTCCTCACTCTAGCACCTTCGCCACGCTCACCCCTATTCCTCCTCACTCTAGCACCTTCGCCACACTCACCCCTATTCCTCCTCACCTCTAGCACCTTCGTAATGCTCACTCCTATTCCTCCTCATCTAGCACCTTCGCCACGCTCACCCCTATTCCCTCTCACTCTAGCACCTTCGCCACGCTCACCCCTATTCCTCTCACTCTAGCACCTTCGCCACGCTCACCCCTATTCCTCCTCACTCTAGCACCTTCGCCACGCTCACCCTATTCCTCCTCACTCTAGCACCTTCGCCACGCTCACCCCTATTACTCCTCACTCTAGCACCTTCGCAACGCTCACCCCTATTCCTCCTCACTCTAGCACCTTCGCCACGCTCACCCCTATTCCTCCTCACTCTAGCACCTTCGCCACGCTCACCCCTATTCCTCCTCACTCTAGCACCTTGCCACGCTCACCCCTATTCCTCCTCACTCTAGCACCTTCGCCACGCTCACCCCTATTCCTCCTCACTCTAGCACCTTCGCCACGCTCACCCCTATTCCCTCTCACTCTAGCACCTTCGCCACGCTCACCCCTATTCCTCCTCACTCTAGCACCTTCGCCACGCTCACCCCTATTCCTCCTCACTCTAGCACCTTCGCCACGCTCACCCCTATTCCTCCTCACTCTAGAACCTTCGCCACGCTCACCCTTATTCCTCCTCACTCTAGCACCTTCGCCATGCTCACTACCCCTATTCCATCCTCACTCTAGCACCTTCGCCACGCTCACTCCTACTCCTCCTCACTCTAGGCACCTTCGCCACACTCACCCCTATTCCCCCTCACTCTAGCACCTTCGCCACGCTCACCCCTATTCCTCCTCACTCTAGCACCTTCGACACGCTCACCCCTATTCCTCCTCACTCTAGCACCTTCGCCACGCTCAACCCCTATTCCCCCTCACTCTAGCACCTTCCGCCACACTCACCCCTATTCCCCGTCACTCTAGCCATTCGCCACACTCACCCCTATTACTCCTCACTCTAGCACCTTCGCAACGCTCACCCCTATTCCTCCTCACTCTAGCACCTTCGCCACGCTCACCCCTATTCCTCCTCACTCTAGCACCTTCGCCACGCTTACCCCTATTCCTCTCACTCTAGCACCTTCGCCACGCTCACCCCTATTCCTCCTCACTCTAGCACCTTCGCCACGCTCACCCCTATTCCTCCTTACTCTAGCACCTTCGCCACGCTCACCCCTATTCCCCCTCACTCTAGCACCTTCGCCACACTCACCCCTATTCCTCCTCACTCTAGCACCTTCGCCACCCTCACCCCTATTCCTCCTCACTCTAGCACCTTCGCCCACGCTCACCCCTATTCCCCCTCACTCTAGCACCTTCGCCACGCTCACCCCTATTCCTCCTCACTCTAGCACCTTCGCCACGCTCACCCCTATTCCCCCTCACTCTAGCACATTCGCCACACTCACCCCTATTCCTCCTCACTCTAGCACATTCGCCACACTCACCCCTATTACTCCTCACTCTAGCACCTTCGCAACGCTCACCCTATTCCTCCTCACTCTAGCACCTTCGCCACGCTCACCCCTATTCCTCCTCACTCTAGCACCTTCGCCACGCTCACCCCATATTCCCTCTCACTCTAGCACCTTCGCCACGCTCACCCATATTCCTTCTCACTCTAGCACCTTCGCCACGCTCACCCCTATTCTTCCTCACTCTAGCACCCTTCGCCACGCTCACCCCTATTCCCCCTCACTCTAGCACCTTCGCCACGCTCACCCGTAGTCCTCCTCACTCTAGCACCTTCGCCAAGCTCACCCCTATTCCTCCTCACTCTAGCACCTTCGCCACGCTCACCCATATTCCCCCTCACTCTAGCACCTTCGCCACGCTCACCCCTATTCCTCCTCACTCTAGCACCTTCGCCACGCTCACCCCTATTCCCCCTCACTCTAGCACCTTCGCCACACTCACCCCTATTCCTCCTCACTCTAGCACCTTCGCCACGCTCACCCCTATTCCCCTCACTCTAGCTCCTTCGCCACGCTCACCCCTATTCCCCCTCACTCTAGCACCTTCGCCACGCTCACCCCTATTCCTCCTCACTCTAGCACCTTCGCCACACTCACCCCTATTCCTCCTCACTCTAGCACCTTCGCCACGCTCACCCCTATTACTCCTCACTCTAGCACCTTCGCAACGCTCACCCCTATTCCTCCTCACTCTAGCACCTTCGCCACGCTCACCCCTATTCCTCCTCACTCTAGCACCTTCGCCCACGCTCACCCCTATTCCCTCTCACTCTAGCACCTTCGCCACGCTCACCCATATTCCTTCTCACCTCTAGCACCTTCGCCACGCTCACCCCTATTCCTCCTCACTCTAGCACCTTCGCCACGCTCACCCCTATTCCCCCTCACTCTAGCACCTTCGCCACGCTCACCCCTAGTCCTCCTCACTCTAGCACCTTCGCCAAGCTCACCCCTATTCCTCCTCACTCTAGCACCTTCGCCACGCTCACCCATATTCCCCCTCACTCTAGCACCTTCGCCACGCTCACCCCTATTCCTCCTCACTCTAGCACCTTCGCCACGCTCACCCCTATTCCCCCTCACTCTAGCACCTTCGCCACACTCACCCCTATTCCTCCTCACTCTAGCACCTTCGCCACGCTCACCCCTATTCCCCCTCACTCTAGCACCTTCGCCACGCTCACCCCTATTCCCCTCACTCTAGCACCTTCGCCACGCTCACCCCTATTCCTCCTCACTCTAGCACCTTCGCCACACTCACCCCTATTCCTCCTCACTCTAGCACCTTCGCCACGCTCACCCCTATTCCTCCTCACTCTAGCACCTTCGCCACGCTCACCCCTATTCCTCCTCACTCTAGCACCTTCGCCACGCTCACCCCTATTCCTCCTCACTCTAGCACCTTCGCCACGCTCACCCCCTATTCCTCCTCACTCTAGCACCTTCGCCACACTCACCCCTATTCCCCCTCACTCTAGCACCTTCGCCACGCTCACCCCTATTCCCCCTCACTCTAGCACCTTCGCCACACTCACCCCTATTCCCCCTCACTCTAGCACCTTCACCACGCTCACCCCTATTCCTCCTCACTCTAGCACCTTCGCCACGCTCACCCCTATTCCCCCTCACTCTAGCACCTTCGCCACACTCACCCCTATTCCTCCTCACTCTAGCACCTTCGCCACGCTCACCCCTATTCCCCCTCACTCTAGCACCTTCGCCACGCTCACCCCTATTCCCCTCACTCTAGCACCTTCGCCACGCTCACCCCTATTCCTCCTCACTCTAGCACCTTCGCCACACTCACTCCTATTCCTCCTCACTCTAGCACCTTCGCCACGCTCACCCCTATTCCTCCTCACTCTAGCACCTTCGCCACGCTCACCCCTATTCCCCCTCACTCTAGCACCTTCGCCACGCTCACCCCTATTCCTCCTCATTCTAGCACCTTCGCCACGCTCACCCCTATTCCTCCTCACTCTAGCACCTTCGCCACACTCACCCCTATTCCCCCTTACTCTAGCACCTTCACCACGCTCACCCCTATTCCCCCTCACTCTAGCACCTTCGCCACGCTCACCCCTATTCCTCCTCACTCTAGCACCTTCGCCACGCTCACCCCTATTCCCCCTCACTCTAGCACCTTCGCCACGCTCACCCCTATTCCTCCTCACTCTAGCACCTTCGCCACGCTCACCCCTATTCCCCCTCACTCTAGCACCTTCGCCACGCTCACCCCTATTCCTCCTCACTCTAGCACCTTCGCCACGCTCACCCCTATTCCCCCTCACTCTAGCACCTTCGCCACGCTCACCCCTATTCCTCCTCACTCTAGCACCTTCGCCACGCTCACCCCTATTCCCCTCACTCTAGCACCTTCGCCACGCTCACCCCTATTCCCCCTCACTCTAGCACCTTCGCCACGCTCACCCCTAGTCCTCCTCACTCTAGCACCTTCGCCAAGCTCACCCCTATTCCTCCTCACTCTAGCACCTTCGCCACGCTCACCCATATTCCCCCTCACTCTAGCACCTTCCCCACGCTCACCCCTATTCCTCCTCACTCTAGCACCTTCGCCACACTCACCCCTATTCCTCCTCACTCTAGCACCTTCGCCACACTCACCCCTATTCCTCCTCACTCCAGCAACTTCGCCACGCTCACCCCTATTCCCCCTCACTCTAGCACCTTCGCCACGCTCACCCCTATTCCCCCTCACTCTAGCACCTTCGCCACGCTCACCCCTATTCCTCCTCACTCTAGCACCTTCGCCACGCTCACCCCTATTCCCCCTTACTCTAGCACCTTCGCCACGCTCACCCCTATTCCCCCTCACTCTAGCACCTTCGCCACGCTCACCCCTATTCCCCCTCACTCTAGCACCTTCGCCACACTCACCCCTATTCCTCCTCACTCTAGCACCTTCGCCACGCTCACCCCTATTCCTCCTCACTCTAGCACCTTCGCCACGCTCACCCCTATTCCCCCTCACTCTAGCACCTTCGCCACGCTCACCCCTATTCCCCCTCACTCTAGCACCTTCGCCACGCTCACCCCTATTCCCCCTCACTCTAGCACCTTCGCCACACTCACCCCTATTCCTCCTCACTCTAGCACCTTCGCCACGCTCACCCCTATTCCTCCTCACTCTAGCACCTTCGCCACGCTCACCCCTATTCCCCCTCACTCTAGCACCTTCGCCACGCTCACCCCTATTCCTCCTCACTCTAGCACCTTCGCCACACTCACCCCTATTCCCCCTTACTCTAGCACCTTCGCCACGCTCACCCCTATTCCCCCTCACTCTAGCACCTTCGCCACGCTCACCCCTATTCCTCCTCACTCTAGCACCTTCGCCACGCTCACCCCTATTCCCCCTCACTCTAGCACCTTCGCCACGCTCACCCCTATTCCTCCTCACTCTAGCACCTTCGCCACGCTCACCCCTATTCCCCCTCACTCTAGCACCTTCGCCACGCTCACCCATATTCCTCCTCACTCTAGCACCTTCGCCACGCTCACCCCTATTCCCCCTCACTCTAGCACCTTCGCCACGCTCACCCCTATTCCCCCTCACTCTAGCACCTTCGCCACGCTCACCCCTAGTCCTCCTCACTCTAGCACCTTCGCCAAGCTCACCCCTATTCCTCCTCACTCTAGCACCTTCGCCACGCTCACCCCTATTCCCCCTCACTCTAGCACCTTCGCCACGCTCACCCATATTCCTCCTCACTCTAGCACCTTCGCCACGCTCACCCCTATTCCCCCTCACTCTAGCACCTTCGCCACGCTCACCCCTATTCCCCCTCACTCTAGCACCTTCGCCACGCTCACCCCTAGTCCTCCTCACTCTAGCACCTTCGCCAAGCTCACCCCTATTCCTCCTCACTCTAGCACCTTCGCCACGCTCACCCATATTCCCCCTCACTCTAGCACCTTCGCCACGCTCACCCCTATTCCTCCTCACTCTAGCACCTTCGCCACGCTCACCCCTATTCCTCCTCACTCTAGCACCTTCGCCACACTCACCCCTATTCCTCCTCACTCTAGCACCTTCGCCACGCTCACCCCTATTCCCCCTCACTCTAGCACCTTCGCCACGCTCACCCCTATTCCCCCTCACTCTAGCACCTTCGCCACGCTCACCCCTATTCCTCCTCACTCTAGCACCTTCGCCACGCTCACCCCTATTCCTCCTCACTCTAGCACCTTCGCCACACTCACCCCTATTCCCCCTCACTCTAGCACCTTCGCCACGCTCACCCATATTCCTCCTCACTCTAGCACCTTCGCCACGCTCACCCCTATTCCCCCTCACTCTAGCACCTTCGCCACGCTCACCCCTATTCCCCCTCACTCTAGCACCTTCGCCACGCTCACCCCTAGTCCTCCTCACTCTAGCACCTTCGCCAAGCTCACCCCTATTCCTCCTCACTCTAGCACCTTCGCCACGCTCACCCATATTCCCCCTCACTCTAGCACCTTCGCCACGCTCACCCCTATTCCTCCTCACTCTAGCACCTTCGCCACGCTCACCCCTATTCCTCCTCACTCTAGCACCTTCGCCACCCTCACCCCTATTCCTCCTCACTCTAGCACCTTCGCCACGCTCACCCCTATTCCCCCTCACTCTAGCACCTTCGCCACGCTCACCCCTATTCCCCCTCACTCTAGCACCTTCGCCACGCTCCACCCCTATTCCCCCTCACTCTAGCACCTTCGCCACGCTCACCCCTAGTCCTCCTCACTCTAGCACCTTCGCCAAGCTCACCCCTATTCCTCCTCACTCTAGCACCTTCGCCACGCTCACCCATATTCCCCCTCACTCTAGCACCTTCGCCACGCTCACCCCTATTCCTCCTCACTCTAGCACCTTCGCCACGCTCACCCCTATTCCTCCTCACTCTAGCACCTTCGCCACACTCACCCCTATTCCTCCTCACTCTAGCACCTTCGCCACGCTCACCCCTATTCCTCCTCACTCTAGCACCTTCGCCACGCTCACCCCTATTCCCCCTCACTCTAGCACCTTCGCCACGCTCACCCCTATTCCTCCTCACTCTAGCACCTTCGCCACGCTCACCCCTATTCCCCCTCACTCTAGCACCTTCGCCACGCTCACCCCTATTCCCCCTCACTCTAGCACCTTCGCCACGCTCACCCCTATTCCCCCTCACTCTAGCACCTTCGCCACACTCACCCCTATTCCTCCTCACTCTAGCACCTTCGCCACGCTCACCCCTATTCCTCCTCACTCTAGCACCTTCGCCACGCTCACCCCTATTCCCCCTCACTCTAGCACCTTCGCCACGCTCACCCCTATTCCCCCTCACTCTAGCACCTTCGCCACGCTCACCCCTATTCCTCCTCACTCTAGCACCTTCGCCACGCTCACCCCTATTCCCCCTCACTCTAGCACCTTCGCCACGCTCACCCCTATTCCTCCTCACTCTAGCACCTTCGCCACGCTCACCCCTATTCCCCCTCACTCTAGCACCTTCGCCACGCTCACCCCTATTCCCCCTCACTCTAGCACCTTCGCCACGCTCACCCCTATTCCCCTCACTCTAGCACCTTCGCCACACTCACCCCTATTCCTCCTCACTCTAGCACCTTCGCCACACTCACCCCTATTCCTCCTCACTCTAGCACCTTCGCCACGCTCACCCCTATTCCCCCTCACTCTAGCACCTTCGCCACGCTCACCCCTATTCCCCCTCACTCTAGCACCTTCGCCACGCTCACCCCTATTCCTCCTCACTCTAGCACCTTCGCCACGCTCACCCCTATTCCTCCTCACTCTAGCACCTTCGCCACACTCACCCTATTCCCCCTCACTCTAGCACCTTCGCCACGCTCACCCATATTCCTCCTCACTCTAGCACCTTCGCCACGCTCACCCCTATTCCCCCTCACTCTAGCACCTTCGCCACGCTCACCCCTATTCCCCCTCACTCTAGCACCTTCGCCACGCTCACCCCTAGTCCTCCTCACTCTAGCACCTTCGCCAAGCTCACCCCTATTCCTCCTCACTCTAGCACCTTCGCCACGCTCACCCATATTCCCCTCACTCTAGCACCTTCGCCACGCTCACCCCTATTCCTCCTCACTCTAGCACCTTCGCCACGCTCACCCCTATTCCTCCTCACTCTAGCACCTTCGCCACCCTCACCCCTATTCCTCCTCACTCTAGCACCTTCGCCACGCTCACCCCTATTCCCCCTCACTCTAGCACCTTCGCCACGCTCACCCCTATTCCCCCTCACTCTAGCACCTTCGCCACGCTCACCCCTATTCCCCCTCACTCTAGCACCTTCGCCACGCTCACCCCTAGTCCTCCTCACTCTAGCACCTTCGCCAAGCTCACCCCTATTCCTCCTCACTCTAGCACCTTCGCCACGCTCACCCATATTCCCCCTCACTCTAGCACCTTCGCCACGCTCACCCCTATTCCTCCTCACTCTAGCACCTTCGCCACGCTCACCCCTATTCCTCCTCACTCTAGCACCTTCGCCACACTCACCCCTATTCCTCCTCACTCTAGCACCTTCGCCACGCTCACCCCTATTCCTCCTCACTCTAGCACCTTCGCCACGCTCACCCCTATTCCCCCTCACTCTAGCACCTTCGCCACGCTCACCCCTATTCCTCCTCACTCTAGCACCTTCGCCACGCTCACCCCTATTCCCCTCACTCTAGCACCTTCGCCACGCTCACCCCTATTCCCCCTCACTCTAGCACCTTCGCCACGCTCACCCCTATTCCCCCTCACTCTAGCACCTTCGCCACACTCACCCCTATTCCTCCTCACTCTAGCACCTTCGCCACGCTCACCCCTATTCCTCCTCACTCTAGCACCTTCGCCACGCTCACCCCTATTCCCCCTCACTCTAGCACCTTCGCCACGCTCACCCCTATTCCCCCTCACTCTAGCACCTTCGCCACGCTCACCCCTATTCCTCCTCACTCTAGCACCTTCGCCACACTCACCCCTATTCCCCCTTACTCTAGCACCTTCGCCACGCTCACCCCTATTCCCCCTCACTCTAGCACCTTCGCCACGCTCACCCCTATTCCTCCTCACTCTAGCACCTTCGCCACGCTCACCCCTATTCCCCCTCACTCTAGCACCTTCGCCACGCTCACCCCTATTCCTCCTCACTCTAGCACCTTCGCCACGCTCACCCCTATTCCCCCTCACTCTAGCACCTTCGCCACGCTCACACCCATATTCCTCCTCACTCTAGCACCTTCGCCACGCTCACCCCTATTCCCCCTCACTCTAGCACCTTCGCCACGCTCACCCCTATTCCCCCTCACTCTAGCACCTTCGCCACGCTCACCCCTAGTCCTCCTCACTCTAGCACCTTCGCCAAGCTCACCCCTATTCCTCCTCACTCTAGCACCTTCGCCACGCTCACCCATATTCCCCCTCACTCTAGCACCTTCCCCACGCTCACCCCTATTCCTCCTCACTCTAGCACCTTCGCCACGCTCACCCCTATTCCTCCTCACTCTAGCACCTTCGCCACACTCACCCCTATTCCCCCTCACTCTAGCACCTTCGCCACACTCACCCCTATTCCCCGTCACTCTAGCCATTCGCCACACTCACCCCTATTACTCCTCACTCTAGCACCTTCGCAACGCTCACCCCTATTCCTCCTCACTCTAGCACCTTCGCCACGCTCACCCCTATTCCTCCTCACTCTAGCACCTTCGCCACGCTTACCCCTATTCCCTCTCACTCTAGCACCTTCGCCACGCTCACCCCTATTCCTCCTCACTCTAGCACCTTCGCCACGCTCACCCCTATTCCTCCTTACTCTAGCACCTTCGCCACGCTCACCCCTATTCCCCCTCACTCTAGCACCTTCGCCACACTCACCCCTATTCCTCCTCACTCTAGCACCTTCGCCACCCTCACCCCTATTCCTCCTCACTCTAGCACCTTCGCCACGCTCACCCCTATTCCCCCTCACTCTAGCACCTTCGCCACGCTCACCCCCTATTCCTCCTCACTCTAGCACCTTCGCCACGCTCACCCCTATTCCCCCTCACTCTAGCACATTCGCCACACTCACCCCTATTCCTCCTCACTCTAGCACATTCGCCACACTCACCCCTATTACTCCTCACTCTAGCACCTTCGCAACGCTCACCCCTATTCCTCCTCACTCTAGCACCTTCGCCACGCTCACCCCTATTCCTCCTCACTCTAGCACCTTCGCCACGCTCACCCCTATTCCCTCTCACTCTAGCACCTTCGCCACGCTCACCCATATTCCTTCTCACTCTAGCACCTTCGCCACGCTCACCCCTATTCTTCCTCACTCTAGCACCTTCGCCACGCTCACCCCTATTCCCCCTCACTCTAGCACCTTCGCCACGCTCACCCGTAGTCCTCCTCACTCTAGCACCTTCGCCAAGCTCACCCCTATTCCTCCTCACTCTAGCACCTTCGCCACGCTCACGCCATATTCCCCCTCACTCTAGCACCTTCGCCACGCTCACCCCTATTCCTCCTCACTCTAGCACCTTCGCCACGCTCACCCCTATTCCCCCTCACTCTAGCACCTTCGCCACACTCACCCCTATTCCTCCTCACTCTAGCACCTTCGCCACGCTCACCCCTATTCCCCCTCACTCTAGCTCCTTCGCCACGCTCACCCCTATTCCCCCTCACTCTAGCACCTTCGCCACGCTCACCCCTATTCCTCCTCACTCTAGCACCTTCGCCACACTCACCCCTATTCCTCCTCACTCTAGCACCTTCGCCACGCTCACCCCTATTACTCCTCACTCTAGCACCTTCGCAACGCTCACCCCTATTCCTCCTCACTCTAGCACCTTCGCCACGCTCACCCCTATTCCTCCTCACTCTAGCACCTTCGCCACGCTCACCCCTATTCCCTCTCACTCTAGCACCTTCGCCACGCTCACCCATATTCCTTCTCACTCTAGCACCTTCGCCACGCTCACCCCTATTCCTCCTCACTCTAGCACCTTCGCCACGCTCACCCCTATTCCCCCTCACTCTAGCACCTTCGCCACGCTCACCCCTAGTCCTCCTCACTCTAGCACCTTCGCCAAGCTCACCCCTATTCCTCCTCACTCTAGCACCTTCGCCACGCTCACCCATATTCCCCCTCACTCTAGCACCTTCGCCACGCTCACCCCTATTCCTCCTCACTCTAGCACCTTCGCCACGCTCACCCCTATTCCCCCTCACTCTAGCACCTTCGCCACACTCACCCCTATTCCTCCTCACTCTAGCACCTTCGCCACGCTCACCCCTATTCCCCCTCACTCTAGCACCTTCGCCACGCTCACCCCTATTCCCCCTCACTCTAGCACCTTCGCTACGCTCACCCCTATTCCTCCTCACTCTAGCACCTTCGCCACACTCACCCCTATTCCTCCTCACTCTAGCACCTTCGCCACGCTCACCCCTATTCCTCCTCACTCTAGCACCTTCGCCACGCTCACCCCTATTCCTCCTCACTCTAGCACCTTCGCCACGCTCACCCCTATTCCTCCTCACTCTAGCACCTTCGCCACGCTCACCCCTATTCCTCCTCACTCTAGCACCTTCGCCACACTCACCCCTATTCCCCCTCACTCTAGCACCTTCGCCACGCTCACCCCTATTCCCCCTCACTCTAGCACCTTCGCCACACTCACCCCTATTCCCCCTCACTCTAGCACCTTCACCACGCTCACCCCTATTCCTCCTCACTCTAGCACCTTCGCCACGCTCACCCCTATTCCCCCTCACTCTAGCACCTTCGCCACACTCACCCCTATTCCTCCTCACTCTAGCACCTTCGCCACGCTCACCCCTATTCCCCCTCACTCTAGCACCTTCGCCACGCTCACCCCTATTCCCCCTCACTCTAGCACCTTCGCCACGCTCACCCCTATTCCTCCTCACTCTAGCACCTTCGCCACACTCACTCCTATTCCTCCTCACTCTAGCACCTTCGCCACGCTCACACCCTATTCCTCCTCACTCTAGCACCTTCGCCACGCTCACCCCTATTCCCCCTCACTCTAGCACCTTCGCCACGCTCACCCCTATTCCTCCTCATTCTAGCACCTTCGCCACGCTCACCCCTATTCCTCCTCACTCTAGCACCTTCGCCACACTCACCCCTATTCCCCCTTACTCTAGCACCTTCACCACGCTCACCCCTATTCCCCCTCACTCTAGCACCTTCGCCACGCTCACCCCTATTCCTCCTCACTCTAGCACCTTCGCCACGCTCACCCCTATTCCCCCTCACTCTAGCACCTTCGCCACGCTCACCCCTATTCCTCCTCACTCTAGCACCTTCGCCACGCTCACCCCTATTCCCCCTCACTCTAGCACCTTCGCCACGCTCACCCCTATTCCTCCTCACTCTAGCACCTTCGCCACGCTCACCCCTATTCCCCCTCACTCTAGCACCTTCGCCACGCTCACCCCTATTCCTCCTCACTCTAGCACCTTCGCCACGCTCACCCCTATTCCCCCTCACTCTAGCACCTTCGCCACGCTCACCCCTATTCCCCCTCACTCTAGCACCTTCGCCATGCTCACCCCTAGTCCTCCTCACTCTAGCACCTTCGCCAAGCTCACCCCTATTCCTCCTCACTCTAGCACCTTCGCCACGCTCACCCATATTCCCCCTCACTCTAGCACCTTCCCCACGCTCACCCCTATTCCTCCTCACTCTAGCACCTTCGCCACGCTCACCCCTATTCCTCCTCACTCTAGCACCTTCGCCACACTCACCCCTATTCCTCCTCACTCCAGCAACTTCGCCACGCTCACCCCTATTCCCCCTCACTCTAGCACCTTCGCCACGCTCACCCCTATTCCCCCTCACTCTAGCACCTTCGCCACGCTCACCCCTATTCCTCCTCACTCTAGCACCTTCGCCACGCTCACCCCTATTCCCCCTCACTCTAGCACCCTCGGCCCGCTCACCCCTATTCCCCCTCACTCTAGCACCTTCGCCACGCTCACCCCTATTCCCCCTCACTCTAGCACCTTCGCCACACTCACCCCTATTCCTCCTCACTCTAGCACCTTCGCCACGCTCACCCCTATTCCTCCTCACTCTAGCACCTTCGCCACGCTCACCCCTATTCCCCCTCACTCTAGCACCTTCGCCACGCTCACCCCTATTCCCCCTCACTCTAGCACCTTCGCCACGCTCACCCCTATTCCCCCTCACTCTAGCACCTTCGCCACACTCACCCCTATTCCTCCTCACTCTAGCACCTTCGCCACGCTCACCCCTATTCCTCCTCACTCTAGCACCTTCGCCACGCTCACCCCTATTCCCCCTCACTCTAGCACCTTCGCCACGCTCACCCCTATTCCTCCTCACTCTAGCACCTTCGCCACACTCACCCCTATTCCCCCTTACTCTAGCACCTTCGCCACGCTCACCCCTATTCCCCCTCACTCTAGCACCTTCGCCACGCTCACCCCTATTCCTCCTCACTCTAGCACCTTCGCCACGCTCACCCCTATTCCCCCTCACTCTAGCACCTTCGCCACGCTCACCCCTATTCCTCCTCACTCTAGCACCTTCGCCACGCTCACCCCTATTCCCCCTCACTCTAGCACCTTCGCCACGCTCACCCATATTCCTCCTCACTCTAGCACCTTCGCCACGCTCACCCCTATTCCCCCTCACTCTAGCACCTTCGCCACGCTCACCCCTATTCCCCCTCACTCTAGCACCTTCGCCACGCTCACCCCTAGTCCTCCTCACTCTAGCACCTTCGCCAAGCTCACCCCTATTCCTCCTCACTCTAGCACCTTCGCCACGCTCACCCATATTCCCCCTCACTCTAGCACCTTCGCCACGCTCACCCCTATTCCTCCTCACTCTAGCACCTTCGCCACGCTCACCCCTATTCCTCCTCACTCTAGCACCTTCGCCACACTCACCCCTATTCCTCCTCACTCTAGCACCTTCGCCACGCTCACCCCTATTCCCCCTCACTCTAGCACCTTCGCCACGCTCACCCCTATTCCCCCTCACTCTAGCACCTTCGCCACGCTCACCCCTATTCCCCCTCACTCTAGCACCTTCGCCACGCTCACCCCTAGTCCTCCTCACTCTAGCACCTTCGCCAAGCTCACCCCTATTCCTCCTCACTCTAGCACCTTCGCCACGCTCACCCATATTCCCCCTCACTCTAGCACCTTCGCCACGCTCACCCCTATTCCTCCTCACTCTAGCACCTTCGCCACGCTCACCCCTATTCCTCCTCACTCTAGCACCTTCGCCACACTCACCCCTATTCCTCCTCACTCTAGCACCTTCGCCACGCTCACCCCTATTCCTCCTCACTCTAGCACCTTCGCCACGCTCACCCCTATTCCCCCTCACTCTAGCACCTTCGCCACGCTCACCCCTATTCCTCCTCACTCTAGCACCTTCGCCACGCTCACCCCTATTCCCCCTCACTCTAGCACCTTCGCCACGCTCACCCCTATTCCCCCTCACTCTAGCACCTTCGCCACGCTCACCCCTATTCCCCCTCACTCTAGCACCTTCGCCACACTCACCCCTATTCCTCCTCACTCTAGCACCTTCGCCACGCTCACCCCTATTCCTCCTCACTCTAGCACCTTCGCCACGCTCACCCCTATTCCCCCTCACTCTAGCACCTTCGCCACGCTCACCCCTATTCCCCCTCACTCTAGCACCTTCGCCACGCTCACCCCTATTCCTCCTCACTCTAGCACCTTCGCCACACTCACCCCTATTCCCCCTTACTCTAGCACCTTCGCCACGCTCACCCCTATTCCCCCTCACTCTAGCACCTTCGCCACGCTCACCCCTATTCCTCCTCACTCTAGCACCTTCGCCACGCTCACCCCTATTCCCCCTCACTCTAGCACCTTCGCCACGCTCACCCCTATTCCTCCTCACTCTAGCACCTTCGCCACGCTCACCCCTATTCCCCCTCACTCTAGCACCTTCGCCACGCTCACCCATATTCCTCCTCACTCTAGCACCTTCGCCACGCTCACCCCTATTCCCCCTCACTCTAGCACCTTCGCCACGCTCACCCCTATTCCCCCTCACTCTAGCACCTTCGCCACGCTCACCCCTAGTCCTCCTCACTCTAGCACCTTCGCCAAGCTCACCCCTATTCCTCCTCACTCTAGCACCTTCGCCACGCTCACCCATATTCCCCCTCACTCTAGCACCTTCGCCACGCTCACCCCTATTCCTCCTCACTCTAGCACCTTCGCCACGCTCACCCCTATTCCTCCTCACTCTAGCACCTTCGCCACACTCACCCCTATTCCTCCTCACTCTAGCACCTTCGCCACGCTCACCCCTATTCCCCCTCACTCTAGCACCTTCGCCACGCTCACCCCTATTCCCCCTCACTCTAGCACCTTCGCCACGCTCACCCCTATTCCTCCTCACTCTAGCACCTTCGCCACGCTCACCCCTATTCCTCCTCACTCTAGCACCTTCGCCACACTCACCCCTATTCCCCCTCACTCTAGCACCTTCGCCACGCTCACCCCTATTCCCCCTCACTCTAGCACCTTCGCCACGCTCACCCCTATTCCCCCTCACTCTAGCACCTTCGCCACGCTCACCCCTATTCCTCCTCACTCTAGCACCTTCGCCACGCTCACCCCTAGTCCTCCTCACTCTAGCACCTTCGCCACGCTCACCCCTATTCCCCCTCACTCTAGCACCTTCGCCACGCTCACCCCTATTCCCCCTCACTCTAGCACCTTCGCCACACTCACCCCTATTCCCCCTCACTCTAGCACCTTCGCCACGCTCACCCCTATTCCCCCTCACTCTAGCACCTTCGCCACGCTCACCCCTATTCCTCCTCACTCTAGCACCTTCGCCACGCTCACCCCTATTCCTCCTCACTCCAGCACCTTCGCCACACTCACCCCGATGAGTGCCTGCCCACTTATTTGGGTGGCGGGAATGGCGTCGCTACAGTTGCCCTCCCACGGGCTTGGCTTGCCTGATGGCCCCACACTGAGAACCACCCACTCCTTGCCGTCCCTGTGCGTCAATCTGTGGTGGAGAGGGGTAGCGAGGGGCGGAGTGGGGCAGAGCGGGGTGGAATGGGCTAAAATGTGGATTTATCTTCATGAGGGAATTTTCTCAAGGCTACCTACTTGCTTCCATCCCTGTGTGACCATTTGTAGGGCTCACAGCTGTAGGGAGGGTTGCTGAGGATAAAGGCTTTGCATTGTGGCCACAATTGGATGAATCCACTTCTTTTTCTCTCTGTGTGTTACTTTGTGGGGTGAGGGGGGGTGGAGAGGGATGCGGTGCTGTTCAGTTGGTGGGAATGGATACGACGAGGTGTTGTAACAAGATGTCAAGGATGTGGATCTAAAGGCTGGGAAGAGATTTAACTACCATTTGAAGCAGGACACGTCACTAGTATGTGCTCACAGCATTCTTTGCGTGCAGGTTTGACTCCCATGCAGGTTTGACTCCCATGCAGGTTTGACTCCCATGCAGGTTTGACTCCCATGCAGGTTTGACTCCCATGCAGGTTTGACTCCCATGCAGGTTTGACTCCCATGCAGGTTTGACTCCCATGCGGGTTTGTTTACCTTAGAACGCTTTCCGACTCTGCTTGTAGTGCAGCGTCCTTGAAATGGTTGTGCTTACTGCACTCATTAACATTTGGTCTCTCGCCTCACACACACAGATGGATTGTGCGAAAACGCACATCCGTTCACAGAAACACACATAGTCACGGACACAGGCAAGCACGCACCCTCCCACACACACCCACCACCCCCTTCCCTCACCAAACACACACACACACACGCATGGCACGCACACACACACAGAGACACACACACACGCAGACACACACACACACACACACGCACACACATGCACGCACACATGCACGCATGCACGCACGCACACACACACACACACACACACACACACCCACACACACACATACACGCACGCACGCACGCACATGCACGCACGCGCGCACGCACGCACGCACGCACGCACGCACGCACGCACATGCACGCACGCACGCACGCACGCACACACGCACGCACGCACGCACATGCACGCACGCACGCACGCACGCACCCCCCCCCCCCCCCCCCCCCCCCCCCACACACACACACACACAGCGAACATTAAGCACTGATGATCGAAATGAATAATGCAGAAGTGTCAAGAATTGTCGATCAACTGCAGACGCATGAACTACGAACCCATGACCGGATCAGACACATCATACAATGCCATGTATGTAATGCATTCCCTTCTTGCATGACCCATACGAAGCTCCTACAGAAGAATTTTTAATTGCTAGTGAGGGCCTCACCAGTGAGTGCTAGTGCGAGGCTCACCACTGAGTGAGTGCTAGTGCGAGGCTCACCATTGCTGCACGAGTTTGGCAATCTCCACAAAGCAATCCGTGAACTTGACTTTGAGGAGGATCATGCCACCCACTGTCTTGATGTTCTGATTGGCGGCGGGAAGCACAGGTTGGAGGGTAGGGGAGGGTGGGATGATGAGAGGGAAGAGTGGATGTGAGAGGGAGGAGAGTGAACTTGACTTTGAGCCAAAACATGCTGGGATGGCTTGATGTACGAATCAGCAGCAGGCGGCGAAACGACTAAGGGCAAAAGGTGAGTAGCGCACATGAGCAAACAAAGGGGCGTTTGTGGAATTGTTTGGAGCTGCTTTGACTCGGTAGGGACTAGAGACGCTAACCAGGATGGGGAATGAAACGGAACACGTGCGAAGAGGAAGGGGGCTATTGTGGAGCAGCTGGGTGTTGTAACACATAGCCAATGAGATCTCATAGCCACACGAGAACACACGAAGACGGCTACAGGCGAATGAGAGGCAGGACGTACAAAGGCAAAGGGAGAGATTGTGGAGGCGGCATGGGGTTGGATGAGGGAGGAGTGGATGAGAGAGAGGAGCAGAAGGACGTACGAAAATGAAGGGCGCGTTGGTGGCGGGCCGGTGCCTTGCAGTGCCCTGAGGGGGGATGGCGGAAGGACAATAAGGGGAGTGATGGGGGATAGGGGTTGAGCGGATGGCGCAGTAGGGGAGGGTAGTGGGTGGGAGGACCGTGGGGAAGAGACAACAAAGTGAGGGGTGGGCGGGGGGAAAGGAGACAGCGGAGTGAGAGTTTGTGCGGAGTTAGGGGGGGATAGTGGGATGGTGCAAAGGGAAGCAAAGCGCGGTGGAAGGGCGGGAAGGGAAGCGAGAGAGCCGCAGAGTGGCAGCGCCGGCTGGGTCCGGAACATGGTTTTGACCATTCTCAGAGTGAATTACGCCAACTGAACTGCCCACAACATACTATCCTTGGGGCGAACGGAGAGAGGAGCTTCGGGGGTTTGAGGCTGAATCTGACTGCTTGTGTAACAGGAATCGAGTGGAGTAGCTTGTTGGTGACTTACCGCTTTCTCTGCGATGTATCTGCATTCTCACAGCACAATGGAAGACACAAGCAAAGGCAGTGTTGGGAGGAAGGAAGCAGCACGGTAACAGTACCAGGAAACTAGCTGAGCTGAAGGCTCGGATGAGCATGAGGTTTGACGGGAGGCTCGGATGAGCATGAGGTTTGACGGGAGGCTCGGATGAGCATGAGGTTTGACAGGAGGCTCGGATGAGCATGAGGTTTGACGCAAGGCTCGGATGAGCATGAGGTTTGACGCAAGGCTCATGTGCCGAGAGTTCTGTGGTTCCAGTAGAGTTACTTGTGTGACGAATGTGTGGGTAGACCTAGCTGGGTGCAGAAGCGCTTGTTCACTCAGGCGACATGAGCTTCGGTTCAATCCGACCAGCCCGGCGCGAGTGAACTAGTTCCACAATAACTCGACCAGCATACTGCCCGCATACTGCCCACACTGCCCCTGTCCGCACTACCCGCACTGCCCCTGTCCGCACTGCTCGCATTGCTCGCACTGCACGCCCTGCCCGCACGTTCTGTCCACACTCCTCGCACTGTCAGCACACTGACGCCACATTTCTACAAATACTTGTAGAAGCGAGCTAGAGTGGCGTATTATTTCAAAGCGAGCTAGAGTGGCGTATCATTTCAAAGCGAGGTAGAGTGGCGTATCATTCCTAAGCGAGCTAGAGTGGCGCATCATTCCTAATGTAACTATCTTCAATATCTTGAGGTGTACCCTTTTGGCGAGCTTCGAAATCACTTGAGGCTTGACACCAAGGCTCAGGCTCTTCATCACAAACTCATCCTTGAGTTCTTGATGGGTCTGCTGCACACACCTGCGACACGCCGAACGTTCGACACAGGACAAAATAGAAACCGCGCACGACAAAATAGAAACCGCGCGCGAGACACAAACGACCGCGTAACACGCGTCTAGCGATAACTCGCTATTGACTCGACACACACACTCAACATCATGACTCAACATTCACACACAATTATAAGCATGAAATATATATTATCCCATGCCCTCATACTATTCCATACACACACACATTCACGCACACGGACAACAAGCCGAGTGCAAACCGTAGGGTTGCACCAACAAACTCCCCCTCGGATTGTTGGCCTTAGGATATGTTGCTCTCTCAGTTCAGAGCCATCCCAGCCAGCTTGCAACACTTCCAATGCTGCTGCTCCACCAGCCTCTTGGTCATCATGTCAGCCGGCTGCCCCGTGGTCTTCACGTAGCGCAACTCAACTTCACCCGCGGTTACCATGCTCCTCGTCCAATGCCACTTCACCCTCATGTGCTTCGTGAGTCCATGCAACACAGGGTTCTTAGCAAGAGCAATGGCACCCTGGCTGTCACAGTACAGTGGGGTAGTTCCTTGCTGCTCCTCCCCCAATTCAGCCAACAAACGCCGCTGCCACACAATCTCCCGTACGGCACGGAAGAGTGCCATGTACTCGGACTCCACCGAGCTCAAAGCTTGGTCAACCTGCTTCTTGCTCTCCCAAGCAGTTGGGCCTCCACCAACACAGCATATGAAGCCTCCCACACTTGTCATGTCCTCTGGTTCTGATGCATATAAAGCATCCGAGTAGGCGGTGAGGAACAAACGCCCGGGTTCAACACCATCCGCGCCCTTTTGGCGCCTTTGTGCCGCCGCCGAGTATTGCAGCCCAACGGTCGGTGTTTGGCCAAGATACTTGGCCACCCTCATTCCAGCTGCTACCTGCTCCTCATTAGGGCATTGCACAACCCTAGCCAGCTGCCCGGTAGCAAACGCGACGTCCGGTCGGGTGTTTACCGCCGCATACATGAGGCTGCCCACCAACGAGTGAAATCGGCGCCTCTCCTCTTCACCAACGCTCTCCTCCTCTGGTCCCTTCACACACTTGAACCCAGAGGGAAAGGGTGTAGCCACATGGCCTTCACTCTGCCCAAAGTTGGCAGCCAATGCCTCCAGGTACTTTCGTTGATGCACCCGCATGCACCGCTTCTCCACATCTCGTTCGATGTGGAGCCCAAGGTAGAAGCTCACGTCACCAAGGGCCTTGCACTTGAACTTGTCTTGAAGCTTCAGCATCACCTCCTTCACAAGGTCAGAAGAGGGTGAGAAAATGAGGATGTCATCCACATAAACCACCATGAAACTCCTCTGCTCCCCCTCGCCAAGCATGAACAAGGAGTGATCGGCCGTTGAGGGAGTGAAGCCGATCCCCTCCAACACTTCGCGCAGCTTCATGTACCATTGCCTAGGGGCCTGCTTCAGCCCATAGAGGGCCTTCTTCAGCTTCCACACTCTGCCACTGCCATCATCAAACCCCTCTGGCTGCGCCATAAAAATCTCCTCCTCAAGGATGCCGTTAAGGAATGCCGTTACGATGTCCATTTGCTTTACTACCCATCCTTTGATGGCGGCTCCCGCGAATAGGGTTCGCAGCGTCGTCGGCTTCACCACAGGGGCAAACAGCTCCTTGAAGTCCACCTTCTCCTTCTGCTGGTACCCCTTGGCTACAAGCCTAGACTTGTAGCGCTCGATCTTGCCGTCGGCATCCGACTTGATTTTGAAGAGCCACTTGGACGTTATCGCCGTACGCCCCTCCGGTAGCTCCACCAATTCAAACGTGTCATTCTCCTCGATGCTCTTCAGCTCACTCTCCATGGCCTTCTTCCACTCCTCAGCATCACTACTCTCCAAAGCCTCCTTGAGAGTTGCTGGTTCTCCCGGCATCTCCACCGGAGAGAAGAACGCGAAGGCACACTCCTCGTAGTCACTCTCCTCGTCGTCTCCGACCATCATTGCCGCTCCGGCCAGGGCTGTCTTGCCCTGCTTTCCCGGTGCATCATAGGTCAGCCTATTAGGGGGTTGAACTCTCCTCTTCCCCCTTCCTTCCTCCTCAGCTGCAGGGA